GGGGGGGGGGGGGAGAGAGAGAGAGAGAGAGAGAGAGAGGAAAACATGTGGACTGAATGAAGAAAAAAATGGAGGAAAGAAAAAAAATACATCGATAGGCCTTTACGACCCTATGAAACCGGAGGGCTCTTGATGTGTTTCGTGTTTTCTTTGTTTTGGATCGGGCCAGTGGAGCCCTCTCTCGCGCGTTACAACTGACAGCCTGGCTGTACCAATGACTACATAGGGTTTCTGCCACGATCGATCTCTCTTGCTTTCTGGCTCTTTTGCACGTACACTGCTGCATATCCTCTGTCTCTGTCTCTCTCTCTCTCTCTCTTTTTCTTTCTTTCTTTTTCTCTATTGCTATCTGTTTCTTGTGCGCGCTCAGAATCAAAATTTTATTTCAACCAATTTACCATTTAACCTGTAATAACGCTTACAATTATATTGTAAAATTGTCTATGGCAAATCACGCAGAACACTAACCAGATTTATCTTAGAACATAAAATATCTTTGTCAAGTTAATCCTTCCAAAGTATAAAACACCGTGTGGCTTAAGTAGACTTTGAAAAAATCTCAAATATTTACTCTCTTCATATTTACATTTTTGTTGGTTTTGTTGGTTGGTAAGTTTTACACCATTGTATTGAAGTCTAACGATTCCTCGTCTGCATAAGAAAAATCACTAGTGAGACACGTCTCGACTTGCCGAATGACTTATATATTCGCAAGCGCAATCGACAGGTTCGGACCGGTAGAATTCTCGAACTTTCTTGCCTGTACCGAGTCTACTCGTCTGGTGCGATTGCTTGTTGAAGCTAAGCTACACATAAGTATGTGTGACTGTATTCTGGAGTCTCGTGTCGACACACCCGATCATCAAAAGAAAAAGAGAGTGAGTGAGAGAGTAAGAGAGGAACGAGAAAGACAGAGAGTTTAAACAGTGCCTTGACACACACGAGTAGTTTGAAAAAGTTGTGAAGGCACCTTTAAGCAGAGTGGAAGAATCGGTAAATAGGAACAGACAACAGTTTTATTCACTGGAGTTAAATAGAATTTCTCACTAACCGTAAGAAGTGCAAGGAATATAAATGATTAATACCTTTTGCGAAGTCAATTTAAATAAACAATTAATTGCCTACTGGTTTCTTCTTGGTCGTCGAAACATTTCAGTTTTATGTGCACATGTATACATACCATGCGTTTTCATTGCTGCTTCTGGGGAAATTGATGAGGTTTCCTGTTTCACTCATAGATGGCAGACTTGTCGCCTGTACATCGATTTTTGTCAATGAAGCTCTAATATTCGGGAGTCCTTTGTTTCTGGTGCAAGCGCAGTGTGTTTCTACTTGAGCTTTGTCAGATGTTACCTAGTATGCATATGCATAGACTAAATACAGCTAATTAATATTGTAACCAATTGTAACCAATCGATCGAGATCTTCCCACAGTTTTATTAGTAGACTTCGTCACATGGGATTGAATTTGGTTATAACGTGATCTGAAGAAACTCTGAGTATTGACAAATTTAATAGTTTCCTGCTTCAACTAGTTCTTCACCTCGCACAAAGAATCGTATTCATAGAGGACTTTTCTTGTAACTACTGAACAACCTCATTAGTTGAGGAAATTCCGAAAGTCTGTTCAATGCTAGTCGTGAGTATTTAAATGCTAGGCAATAAAAACTTATGTATGAATTTGATGCTTCTAGTTAAAATGGGAACGTATAGATTTTTAGTAACCAGATTGAAGTATATTTCACACAAAGAGATATCTGGGAGTGTCTTTATCGAAATGTACATCTACTGGTAACAGACGTTTTATCTATGAATGACCATTGGCAATCAAATCTTGGGTGAACTATACATATAAGGTGTCAAATGAATCGTTAAAAGGTCTTATATTTCCAAACTCAATTATGAATGCTTCAGGCAATTAATATCCATATTTAAAATTACTATTCTTTACCGATCACGGTGATTACGATCCTCGTGAAGCAGGTCGCAGGTTCCGCGGTATATTTTTTCTAAGTTTTCTCGTGAGGGCATCGAGCGTCGAAGCGTTACGACGGGAACTCCGGCGCCTTAACCTATTTCATGTAAATAGATCTATAAAATACGACAGTTTGGGCCGCACTCGAGCGTGCATTCTATTTGAAGTCAATGTTTATACAAACTGCATGTTATTTATTCGTAATATGTATATTTCAAAACTTATTGCATCAGATCGTACACGTTGCTAACAAGAGCGATAACGCACATATGTACATATACGATCGCCACCTTAGCTGTCATCATTGACCAGCGCAGTTATAATCTCCTGGAGAAAGAAACGGAAATGGATAAAAAGAAAGAAAAGAGTTTCTCGGCATAAATAGCATATACGGCACAATGATGACATTTATTTCCAAGTTATCTTATCTGAAATATAAAAAATATAGTTTTTTTTTGTATTTTCACCAAGGTCTATTTTTTTTCTCGTATTATTTTGCTCTTCGCCCGGAACAATATTGTATCAGTAAATAATATGATTTTCGATCTTTATTCAAACGAACATGATTACTTTATGAAATATTTTTTTATAGTATTACACAAAAATAAACATCTTTCATGTCGGACAGACATCAATACCTTGACTTAGTTTTATTATTACTATCTTTATCTGCATCTTGCATGTCTAATTTGGTGTTTACTCATTTGAATGTCTCTTCTTGGTAAAAAGGTATCGGTCACACTTCTGGGAAGAAAATTAGACTCTTACAAATTCCGAAGAATTTTCAAGGATTCGCGGTCATTTTTTCTATTGTTTTTCCCTTCGCAACTTGGATACGGATCGTTTAATGGTACTGTCGACTCATTGACTTTCTTTCGCTAAATTCACCAATTAATTTCGACAGCTGTTACGTTTTGTGAAAAAGATCACGCGTGCAACCACAAAAAGGCACTACTTCGATTATTCATAGCTTAATAAATAATAAAAAGGAAAGTCCGAATCATATAATATGATAAACTCGTTACCATAGTGGGTTATCGAATACGGATATAATTTCACGAGATAATCTACTTACTTGAATCAGTACGATATGACGTTTTGAGAATTGAAGTCATGGTGGTCAGAAAAATTGTCTTATAGCAATTTGAAATATTGGAAAATGAAAAAATAGATTCTTGCACTTTTTAAAATATTCCAGAACATTATGCTTATACAGATATATGTTGCCATTGTTGACGGTCTAAAAAACATTAACAAACTCCATGCACCGTTTCAGAGAAATAAATAATAATGCCATTACCCAACTCTTTAAACGATGCTTAGCTGAAATGTAGTATAGCGTCCCTTTTAAAAACGCATGAACGAACTAACCTCAAAATTACTATTTTTTTTTCGCGACAAGAAAGCTGTATCCTGTGCTCATTGCCTTTCTCTGTAACTTCATTTTTTATAGACACTTTTAGAAAATTATGCCTCCAGCAATGCACGTCATCGAAGCATATACGAAACGTTAATATCGAATGAGGCAAATGAGACTAAAGATCATTTTTATCAACATATTAGATTGGAGCATAATCTGACAACTATTTCGACGTTAGTCTCAAACGTTAGAAAAGCTTTTAGCAGTTTCTAAGAGTGCGGTTATAAATACTAGCTTGCGTGTCCTGTGCAACATTGCTAATGATAAATTATATATTAATTGAAATTTTTCTTTCAAAAAGTTATTACATATGTTTCAATTGAATACGTGTCAAAGCTTATCCTAATGATTAATAATATAAATTAATAATATCCGATATAACCATTTCAATAAATATACGTGTTTAAATACGATATACTCTGCTTTAGCTTATACGGCACTGTGGCTGTAATAATGCAAATTTCGGGATGAAACCAAAAAAATACAGGAGGTATTGACGTAACTCATGGCGATCAAAGTCACTCGTGATGCTACAGTATTCCCTGCAGGATTACCCATGTCGAAAACTATTATGAGCCCGAAGAGTTAAAGCGAGCAGACAGAATATCCTGAATCGTGACGTTTGATAAATCTCCATTATGGGCAAAACAGCGATAGAAAAGGTAAAAAAAGATATACGGAGAACCAATAAAGGTAAATAACCTAGAAGACACTTGATTGCTTTATCCTTGCTTCTGCACTCACTTTCATTATCGACGTGGAAATGACACCCTATTGAAATAAGAAGAAACCAAGAAAGGAACAAGGAAATTTGAATTACTGATAATCATGATTAATATATATGACCAATACTTATATATGCAACGACATAAAATATTACAGATACGAATCCGTACAATTTCATCAGATCGAATGAATCAGAAGTGCTAAGATATATATACACCGATAACCAAAGCGAACGTAATCTACAGGTTTACTGTTTTCCTGACTTTTGTTTCCGCATTTGCCACGAACGTTTTTATTCCTCATCACGGCACTGACACCATTTTCACCTTCACACCGGGTAAACGTGCAAATGAATGCGTTTACATCTTTACTTAGGTATTCAAATGATTCATACACAGCGTTATCGGACATGTTCTCTGGCATTATCATGAAATTTTGAGTCATTAAGATTTTAGTTCACAAAGGATTTTTAAGTACAAATAGCAATGCCAATCCTTTATAAGTTGTTTAGATATCAGTGCAATCATTCTAATCAGTATTATCGTTATCAACATTACATTGTCACTCAAGACTCATTACGAGACAGTTCGGACACCTTCGTTTAGTTTGGCTGAACTAGGTTAGGTTAGATTATTTTACATTTGTGATATAAACGTAACTTCAGTTTGTCGAAGGGCTATCTTTTCTGAAATTATTTTTTTCATTGCGTCAGACGTTCAGTGTTTCGTCAGTCGTGCTACAGCATAACTCTGATTTTACGTGAGTCATTATAAGCGTTACTTCTTTATCGCGATAGGAAATGACCTTCGTAGTGAACGCAATCGAGAATAAAAATCGTGAAGAATCGCTTATTAATAATTGGACAAACGGAAAGATAATTATCGGATGACATATAGTATTTCCTGATATATTGGGAGCACGCTCGTACTACTGTTAAAGGAGAAATATACATTTTTTTTTGACAGCATATTTGGTATTTTTAACAAATCATCAATTATTTGTAGCATGTTCGTGACGCTATTGTTCCCGTTATTAGATGGACTATCAATGAACAAAAGAAATAGGAACTATATATTTGGGATACATATTTTCATGTACCTTCGCAAGAAATGTACAAACTTTATTTTTTAAAATTTTAATCAATATGGCACGATATAGAATAAAATCAAAAGGGAAGAAAAATAAAAAGAAAATAACCTTACGCATCTCACCCACGTAGATAAAGTCATTAGGAAAGGAAGGAATGCCAATTAAAATCGATGTATTTAATTACTTATTTTGCTATTGCTCAATATGCTCTTTTACGTTATGGAAATATCTTACACCTAAATATCTTATTACTGAGGCAACATGAAACAGTTGTTGAATAGCTTACCTATTTTTAAGATCCGTCCTTGCAGACCCTATTTCTAAAGGGACACAGTACTGTGAGTTCTATTTGAAGCGGCTAAGCAGGAAAGCATTCTTGGCAAGGTCAGAAAAAAATATTGTTACATGGTAATTGACAGTATTAGATTATTATTCCTAAGAGGACTGAAGACAAGGATAAGGTAGAATTTTCAGTCATAAAAATCGTTAAGACTAGAATCCAGACAGAAATTTCTTTCTTAAGTCGAGCTAATAGAATACTCTGCGAGGCTAAAAAGCATTTTGGCACCGATTTTGGAATCATTAATCCGAGAAGTTCAAATCGATCTAATAATGTTCACACAAAGATTAGCATCCGAATTGCTGTGTCGTCCTTCTTCAATTTTGGATTAACCATTGCGAAACTGATGACGAAATGATTTTCAATCTTACAAAATGTACTGTCAATACGCCGCTTTAGAAAAAATCTGTTAAAGTTATGTTATGTTATTTATGAGTTTCGAGTCTGGAAATTCTGCATTACCATTCGAGGCACACATCCACTTTATTTCAATGTGTATGTACATACAATGAAATTTCTATGTGTAAACGTACGTATATCTATTGGTATACGAAATAGAAATTTTGTGAGTGGTAGCACTACGTGACTACTAATAGGATGGGATTATTCAGGAGTATTGCAGCACCTGAATATGGTTTTATCATGGAAATTAAATGGATGGATTAACTTAAGTTTATACAAGAATTTTGAATACTTCTTCCATATTGTAGATACTTTGACAAACCGTATCACGCTTTCTTATTTCTGTAATATCAACGAATTTATATGTACCTTAAGATTACAGAAATAGAATTTTTTTCAGTTCACTTATTGTTGTAAAGTATATTTTTAGTTAACTTTAATGAAATTAACCTTGATTGAGATTACCCAATGGAAACACTAAATTAGATAGGTACTCCTAAATATTGTTTCAGCTCATTCATCCACAATGTATTGCATAAAATAAAACCATGCATCATATTTTTCACAGTTCTTCATTTCAATATGCTCTTGATAATCTATTATAGATTGTTGTAAACCTGTATGAACTAGAAAAGTGCCTTTGACTACTTTTTATGGCGTTGCCAGCCGTGGTTCACTATGCCATGAAAAATATCAAACAGGTTTACCTTGAGGCACGACCACGTGAAGCTTGTGTTCGTATCTTGTGTATTCACTGTCGCGAAAAACAGTTAACTCGACAGACGGAGAAACTTTAAATGTTATTACCTCATCTACATCTGGTACTTAATGTTTCATGTCAATTTCGACTCGATCGATTCAACTATTTGATTGAAGTTTTGAATACAAACATTTGCGATCACGGCGCCTCGTGTTTGCACAAATATGCTCAACTTTTTTTTACGAAGACAATGTTCCATGTAGTAGTATCTAAAAATCAATAGACATATAAGTGTAAATAATGATGCAATGATGGGTTTTAAAACGTGTTTAGTAACTATTATGGTTTTTAAAACATCCACTGCAATAATCATAAACTTACACCAGAGACCGCTCATAAATCTTAATAGAAATGGTGATGTGAGAATTATACGACATTTGTCAATTTGATGCAAACTATATTTAACTGATTATTCTGTTCTTGGGTTTAATTATGAGCTTTTATTTTGATTGAAAATACGAAAAGTGAATCGCTATCAGACTATTACCTGCTGGGGTCTAAAGAAGGCAAGTACTAGCAATTGGATAACAGCTTTTCACTCTTTCTATTCCCATTAAAATAAAAGACCATAATCGAATTTAGAACTGGTTCTCTCAGTAGAAGTTATTGGAATACAGTGATGGCTTGTGAGGGTTCCAATCGCTAGTGCTAATGCATTAAAGAAGAAGAAAGAATCAGCCCATAGCATTAACTGATGTCAGTGAGCACCAATAGACCACTAGATCAGTATAACTATTGAACATAGTACACGAATATCCAGTTCCTGAAAAGTACCTACAGCTGGTCCATGAGTTCAATGTGCTTTTTTTATAATTTGCAAAGAATACAATCCTTAGCAAACCACAGGTGGATGTTCTATAAAATCACTGAAATATTTGCTAAAATAGAGAAATTAAATATATTTCAGTACAAAACCGTGTACATGCGTACGTTGTAACGAAAATTATATATACTGCTGCAAACTATTAAAAAAACTGTGAACACATGGACTGGCTACATGTAATAATGAAAACTGACCATGGGGCACTATTTAACATTATCTATTTTACTGCAGTTAAATGGAAACATAACAATTGAAAGGGCAACTGATTTCAAATATCCATTATTGAGGAACACAAACTCAACATCAATGTGGGTAAATTAGCTGTAGAGAAGATCGAACGGAGCTCAGCAAAAATTTTCTTAATTTTGTATTGGCATATTCAGTAAGTTGAATAAGGTTTACATGTCTTTAACCATAAAGTAACTTTGGCAGTGACGATTCCATGTACGTATAAATTGCAGTGCTATTATAGTTAAGTGTATCAAAAGATAGAACGCATTATTTTTGGCAAAATGAGTTTTTGCATCTCTCTCCCTATTAATACATTATCAGTCAGATTTACTTATAGTAAGACCAAAAGGTGGTGATGTTACTCAAAAATATTTCCAATTGCCCACACATGCAAAATCTTATTGATTGAAATCTATTGTACCTGTCTTGCTGCACATAGTGTTGATTTTGAATGTAGTCATAAGCAGCCAAATACTCTTCTTTTTGCCTTGAACCATTCTATATTATAATTTTTAATTCCCATATATGGATATTTGTCATTGACAAATTCTGACAACTCTAAAAAGTAATGCGCTACATGTAATGAACATATGTATAATTATTACCATATATATAAAATGTTAGTATAAAAGTGAAAAAAACTAGGTGGATCTGATCAAGATCCATGTAAACTACTATAATTACCTTAAAAATTGAAACACGAACAATTGGTTTACTCTAAACAATTTGTCTTCCTCATATTTTTTTACTTTTCATTTATTATTATTAACTTTTCAGACTTCCTTGTGCTTAATTTCAATAATGTCAATGAATCTGAAAACGGCAACAGACTGTTTTTATAAAATGTCATTAATAATGTATATATTTTATAAATTTATTTACATAAATTTGTTTAATTCTACTGTTGTCTAGTAACGTAAATAAATATCTTCCTTCCTTCCTTCCTTCCTTTCCTTATGGCTGTGTCCCAGATGTGGCCCATCGACTTAGACGCTTTCTTTGCATTGTATTGTAAGCTCAAATGGATTTCATATGAAAGGCGGCGATCGAGTTTCCCGCCAAGTACTATTTCCCATATGTACGAGCACCTGTAGAAAACATAACGACCAATGGTATGCAGTGTGTCACGATATCAAATATATGAAGCTCAAACGGCGCAGAAACAGCAGGTCGAAGAATTTATTTGAATTTTTTAGTGTAAATAGAAGAGACCTCTAGTATGTCTTATTTCTTTACTGCTGCAAATTAATCCATCATTCATTACTATTTGGAGTGTTTTTTTATTGGTTAAATGCACTACCTCTTCTAAAAGTTATTAGAGAACAGTTAAATTTAAAACAATATTGTGTACACGTTACGGTGAAAAGGAAAAGGCTCAAAAAAAAAGATTTACAAAGTCGATTTGGTCATCAATTACACGAAACGAAGTGGTAAAATAATGAAATTTCATGTCATGTCAATGCGCCTCTTTCGACAATGATTTATGTTACACTTTTGTAACAGTTTATTGCAGAATATGTAAATAAGATGTTCTATAAATGCCACTGTCGATTAAAATACTGTAATTGTAAAATCTAAGTGTTAAGCACTAGCCCACTCTAGCCTAATTTGCCACAATCAGCCACGATATTCACAATTTTGTCGAACAACTTTGGACCAATAAAGTCCGAAGTTACGAAGTGCCGTAAAGATCACGTCAACGTTGATTACGCTTTTGGTGCCCTCTAAGAAATTTCTACTGTACCATACTGTACATTTCAAAATGTCGGCGCCGTGTGACGTGTAGTATACTTTAAAGAAGCTGAGGTAAAACACATCGATCAGATGGAATATTTTAAAAGTAGTTTAAAATCTGTACTTGGTGCCCCGCCACCTGAAAGTCAGCCATCTGGAGCGGACACGGTGCGTTTTTTAGATATATTCTGTTCATATTTTGCTTATTATTCGTCAGTCCGACTTCAATACGTGCTGTCAAACTGTTATGATATTCCCCAACAAACAATTGTTTCACTTTTATTTTACTGCAAGAATATAACCGTATATTGTTCAGCTGTTCATTGTTTATAATTATTATTTTTTAAATCTTCTAAAGCGAATTATTAACTGACGTATTGACGTTTCATGTCGCTTTTGATGTTACATATTTATGTGTACAGTACAAGAAAACAAAATATTCTTGTCAGAAACTGGAGTTCATTCATACAGATATTCAATTGCATACCTTTTTTTGTTATAGGTGGAACGTCTTGTAGACAGACTTCAATCTTCAAGCTTATTAGATGACAGAAGAGATGCATGTCGTGCACTTAAAGCATTGTCAAGGACATACCGTGTTGAAGTTGGAGCACAAGGCATGGATGCACTTAGGCAGGTCCTTGAAATGGATCGAACAGATTGCGAAATTATTGGACTTGCATTGGATACTCTGTGCAACATAACTAATCCTGAAACATTCGATGAAGAAGGTTGGTTTCAATGTGAAATGATTTATCTGCATGATACTAATAAAAATTTTATTTCAGTGAATAAACATGGGCTGAAGAATAAAATTGGCGAACAGTTTACAGAAATATTTATTAAACAACTTGACAGTGTAGGTCAGATCTTAGCATTCCTAGAAGAGTTTGACTTCAGGGTTCGATGGTCTGCTCTGAAATTACTAACACATTTATTGGCTAATAGGCCTAGAGATATTCAGGAGATCATCCTAGTCAGTCCTATGGGTGTATCAAAGTTAATGGATTTACTAAGTGACAGCAGAGAAGTTATTCGCAATGATGTATGTGGATTGTAGACTATGTTACCATGTACATATATTGAAAATTAATATTCACTTATCTGCAGGCTCTATTATTACTCATTCAATTAACAAAAGGCAATGCAAACATTCAAAAAATTGTTGCTTTTGAAAATGCATTTGATCGAATTTTTGAAGTAATAAGACAAGAAGGTGGAGCTGAAGGTGGTATAGTGGTAGAAGATTGTTTATTACTGATGTTGAATCTGCTCCGTGGAAACGCCAGTAATCAAAATTTTTTTAAAGAAGGTAACAACATTAATCATAATTTGCAACTACACTATGTGTGATTAACTGTATTAACATTAAAAATTATCAATAGGTAGTTTTATCCAGAGGCTGACTCCAATGTTCCAGCTACCACCAGAAACTGATGATAGTCCTCTTTCTGGTTGGAGTCCTCAAAAAGTATCAAATGTGCACTGTATGGTCAAAGTAATTCGCGCTCTTGTTGCACCTAGTGGTCCAGCACAGGTAAAATTTTTCACTGGATGTAATAAAAATAATAAAACTGTGTGCTGTGTAACATAAAAGCTGTACTACAATCACAATTGCTCTGTCATTTTCTAAGGCTACAGCTGCTTGTCAACGTGCCATGAGAGCTTGCGGACTTTTGCAAGCACTTTGCGATATATTAATGGCAAGTGGAGTTCCAGCTGATGTTCTTACAGAGACTATAAGCGCTGTAGCTGAAGTCATAAGAGGCAATGCAAGTAATCAAGAATTTTTGGCAGGTGTCATGGCTCCTAGCACTCCACCAAGGTATTAAAACAACTTGAAGTAATATAATAATTTATTTTATTTGCATTCATTTCTTTACTTCATTTTCTTCTCTTAGGCCGGCTATAGTCGTGCTCCTCATGTCTATGGTGAATGAGAAACAACCATTCCTACTTCGATGTTCTGTTCTTTACTGTTTTCAATGTTTTCTCTATAAAAATGAACTGGGTCAATCGCAGTTAGTTCAAACCTTACTACCGCAGGGCAACGAAGCTCCATCTTTAACAACAGGTAAAATTTAATTTCCTGCAATTAATAACTCTTTAAAGGAACTATTTAATAAACATTCTAATTCACAGGACAGTTACTATGCGGTGGTCTCTTTTCTTCGGATTCATTATCCAACTGGTTCTCAGCCGTGGCTCTGTCTTATGCTTTGATAGACAATGTCACTCAGAAGGAACAACTGCTTAGGGTTCTTTTAGCTACAAACATTGGAAAGCCTCCTGTAACCTTAATGCAACAATGCGTAATGTTATTGCAACAAGGGAATAAGACCCAGTGCAAACTGGGACTCCTTATCCTCCTCTGTAGGTGGACGGCGCAATGCCCCACTGCTGTAAAAGCGTTCCTCGGTATAGACTCATCAGTAGCTTACTTAACGGCATTATTATCCTCGCAAGAGAATAACGATGACCTTCAAGAGACTCTGCTTCAAAGTATGTGCGCTCTATTAATCGGCTTATGTGTATATTTCAATGATGACACTGTTCCTAATTACACAAAGGTAAGTGTTGATAATTTTTCGACACTTAGTGATAATGTGATAATTTTCAAGATAAGAACTATGAACATCTTGTAATTCTGGTTTTAGGAAAAGTTATGCCACCTAATAGAAAACAGAATAGGATTAGAGAGATTTCAGGATGCTATTGGGGGTATCACGAGGCATGAAGTCTATTCTAGAACCTTGAAGCATCCTCAACCATCTGCGAAGAATCCTGCCGATTTACTACTCGATCATGAATTTTGTAGATTGTTGAAAAATTTGGAAGGTCAGTTTTTCTACTACGATATTAATTTCCTTATTATATCATTATGATACATAATTTACCTTTCAGGCATCATCGTTAAATCTGTACTTGATGGTAGTAGCTCTCATCGGAACAACGATCCTATTTCTACACTTACACCTTCTGAATCAGCTCTAGTCGCACAATACAAAGAACTCATTAGGGAACAAGACGTACAAATTCAAAGTCTTAATCAAGTAAACGTAACACTGAGTAAAGAGAAATGTGATCTTGAAGTACGTACTCGTTCCAATACAACATTGATAAAATGTGTAGTAGTCAAATTTTTAAAACATTCTATTTTTTATAGGCTCAAATCCACGAACTCCAAGCTACAGTAAATCATCTTAAAGATCAGAATTTAGTGCTTCGTGCAGCTCAAACAAATTTCTCTGATGAAAAACAAATGATGTCTACTGAGAATCATATTGACACGACAGTTCGCGAAGATCTTGACAAGTATAAAGTTATAGTGAAAGATTTACAACAGCGATTGGATGACAGTATCATGAAACTCAAAGAGTATGAACATGAAAGAAGTAATCAGAGTAAATCGATGCTTGAAAGCGCTTTGAAGGAGAAGATGGATGAGTTGGAAAAGTTGCAAAAAGACCAGGAAGACTTGCTTGAACTTCTAACAGATCAAGAAAGCAAGATAGTGTCTTATAAACAGAAATTAATCGCATTAGGAGAAAAGGTGCGAAATATATTTTTTTTTATATAATAATAATCCTTCATGAATTTCTTTTAGTCTTGTGATACTTCAATTAATATTGTTTTTTTTTTGTTCCATTTCGTTATCTTTTTCCTGACCAACTGTTATCCAATGTTTTGACAGCTGTTCAAATCATTTAAAAGAATGCTTTACAGAATTCACGACGTTTTGGGTGCAAATTGTCTCATTTTACGAATCTGATTTGTACTAATGAATGGTAGTGAACAATACTTAATTGTATATAATAATTTCGGATAGTCCATCTCCTCACTTGAGTATTTGATGCAAAAATAAAAATCAGTATCTTAGACCATCTTTTTAATTACAAAATAATACGTAAGATTTTTGAACTAAATTCGAATAAAAAAATACCTTCCATACAAATGGATTTCATATAAGAAAAACAAAAGCTAGCAGTTACAATATCGAAAATATTCATCTAATAGAATAATAGTTAAAGATTTTTTATTTCGTATTCATAGGTGGAATCTGATGAAAGCTCTGGTGAACTTGATACGGACGACCAACCAGAATCAAGTAACTGAGATTAATGTTTATCATACCGAAAAGCCACTTTAAAATTGACTTTTACAGTTCCAAAATAAATATGAACATTTTTAGTCTATATATGGTTTTCTTCTTCTCGATCCTTCCCCGTAATCCCCTTAATGTATTAAAGTCACATATTGTAAAGAGGATTCGATTTAATCAGAATTATTGTACAATAATTCACTTTTATTATTATATTTCCTTGCAACATAAAAGCGGCTGTAGAAAAAAAAAGTATTTCTCTATAGTTAACGAATGTGTTCAATAGCGTTTAACAAGACAGAGTTACGAGCATTACTTTTTTTTAGCAATACTTTCATCTTCTAATAGTATATCTCCCTTTTGAATTTTAAAGGTGCGGTGCTTCAAGTATAATGAATTATAAATTAATAAATCTCATTGTAACGAATTACTACTGAAACACATAGGATGTATGAATCCAGTATGAGTGATATTATTATATGTTCAGAAGATAAAAAAATTCAATTCAATTAAAATGATCAATTGGATACTAAAAACTACACAAGATTGTCCACGGACACTGGCAGACATTTATTTTTAAATAACTTAATGTCCTATCAGTTACTATCGTACAGTTAACCAAACTAGTGGGATGTTCAATTATAGAATTCTGTTACAATTGTATTTAGCGTACCTGCCACTTTAATGAAATTCTTCAATGCATCTTTATGAGCTCAAAATTGAAGGTTATGCAGAGTAAAATTACATTGAATATAGTTTTTCTTTATATCATTATAACAGAATCCTACCTATTTACATAATTCCGTAAGTGACGTCTTATAGTTCGGTTTGACGTTGCTTTATGGCTGCTTGAACGCACTTGGCCATCGTAGGAGACGCTCGGGAAATCACATCTGTCATGAAGAATTGATCAAGAGTCTTTTGCTTGATGTCCACAGGATCTGGCAGGAAGGATCCCCCGGTTTGCTGTAAAATAATGTACATCAATTTTAATAGCTCTTCACGGAGATTATATGCATATATGTACCTTAGCCAGTTCATGGGCCTGAGCAAAGAAATTAGCAGGCTCTACATCACCATATCTAACTATGTGTGGGGCAACCTCTTCTAATCGTGAGCGTACTTCTGTTATATTGTCGTAAGGTAGCCTATGACCAGCGATCTAAAAAATTATATGCAAACATTACTATTCAAATTTCCTATGAGAAAAATACGTAAACAGTTCATGTTTATTGAACGTACCTCAGATAGGGCTCGGATAACCTTCCAGTCTGGACGAGCCATACCTGGAGGAGTTAACGCTGCACCAGTTTGTTGAGCACGACCCTCAGTATTGACGTAACTCCCTGTTTTTTCTGTGTACGCTGCACCAGCAAGTACCACGTCAGCGATTGTTGCTCCTTGATCACCATGACTTCCTGTTTCACAAAATTTATACAAACTGGTAAGTCATCTAGCTTTCACACTCTGTGTTAATATTCTATTTTCACTTATTTATACGATAATCTATTGACCGAGATAGATGATAAAAGTATTGGGGAAGTCTTCTTTTTTAATATTAGCGTCATCAGCTCCCAAAAGGAATAGAACTTTAGGCTGCTGTTGTTTTACATCCTCTATCGTAGACCCATAACCCAGATCAAGAGCGGCAACTTGAGAAGCATTCGTGTGAAGCACATTCAATACTTTCCAATCCTCTGAGGCCTGAAACAAATTGTAACGAAAAATGAATTATTTCTTTTCTGAGCTTTCTTATAATAGCAACAAACTAGGTTTATTATAAATTCGATTTACCTGCACGTTATTCCCCAAAGTGTTTGCTAATGCTTGAGTTTCGGAGACGATTTTAGCTCCGTCCTTTCGCGTGAGTTGTTCGGCTCCCAAAATAATTAATGGCTTCTTAGCATTTTTCAAAGTTGCACTGAACGGATGGGAACCATTTTTCAATTTCGTGATAATATCAATAGAATCTCCCAAATTCTAATAAAAGTGATGTTTCACAACAGGATACAAGTTGCAATTCTGAGTTAGGAAATATACAAACTACATGATTACACTGTTTCTTACCTCGTATTCGTATGATAGATCTATATTGGGACCGATAAGCGCAATTGTCTGTTCACCATGAAGATATCCTTTCCTGAGTCGAGTGTTTACCAGAGGAGCCTCGTATCTTGGATTCGTGCCGATTAAAAGAACTACATCTGCTTCTTCAATACCAGCTATTGTATTGTTCAAAAGGTAACTGCTCCGGAGATCGATTCCTGACCCATCCTTAGGAAAGCCTTGCTCTGTAGCTAAAACCTCCGATCCAAGCTTGTTAAACAAATCTTTCAAAGCAATGAGGGCTTCAGCATCAGCCAGTTTTCCAGCAATTACAGCACCTTCATTTCCAGCTACCGTTTGCAATGCTTTGGCAGCTTTTTATTACAAAAAAAAAACACATAAATAACTATTAATAAACATACTTTGTCAAGTGTAAAAAGGGCGTTTGCAGCTTCATAAAATGCAATTCATATAATGACGAATCTTACTTACCAGTTACAAGAGCATCTTCCCATGCTACTGATTGTAATTTACCAGCTATTTTAATCATTGGTGTAATTATTCGCTGGCGCTTAAGACCGTCACAGGCGAAACGAGACTTATCCGACAGCCACTCTTCATTTACATCCTAAACAGTATCATGTTTATTGATATGCACGTTTAAAGATAAATTCTAGAATTAATATTATTAACCTCATTAACTCTTGGCAGAATCCTCAAAACTTCACCAGTTCTACTAGAAACGACAATGTTGCTACCAACAGCATCAAGAACATCGATACTATCAGTACGACGATTTTCCCAAGGACGAGCTACGAAAGCATAGGGTTTATTTGTCAGAGCACCAACAGGGCACAGATCAATCACATTGCCAGACAATTCTGATAAGAACATTTTTTCCACGTATGTTCCCACCTATAATATTTGCAATCATTGTAGATTTAACATGATCATGATTTATTGTAATGAAAACGATTTTGATTAAGAAACACGCAAGTATCGATACCTGCATATCATTTCCACGGCCAGTTGTTCCCAGATCGTCCAGACCAGCGACTTCCGAAGCAAAACGTATACACCGTGTGCAATGGATACAACGAGTCATGACAGTTTTAATTAATGGCCCGATGTCTTTGTCTTCAACAGCTCTTTTACCACTGAACTCGATATCAGTGAATCGGCTCCGATCATTACCAAAAGCCATACTCTGATCTTGAAGATCACATTCACCACCCTGATCACAGATGGGACAGTCTAAGGGATGATTTACCAGTAGGAACTCCATTACTCCTTCACGTGCCTTACGCGTAAGATCAGAATTTGTTTTTACTCGCCAGCCTTTCATTACTGGCATAGCGCACGCTGCGACAGGCTAAATAAAATATAAACATATTTGTATATTCTCGAGTCTGATGAATATTAAGAAAAGCTCTATTTAAAAGATTAAATGTTGAATAGTTGAGGAATAAATTATAGAAATTTAAAAAGTTATTGCTTACTTTAATTTGCTTTTCAATTTCAACGAGACACATTCTGCAATTTCCAGCAACTGCCAGACGTTCATGATAGCAGAATCGGGGAATTTCCACTCCTGCCTTTGCTGCAGCCTAAACAAATAAGTTATTCATATATGACATAATATGAAAAATGAACAAACGGACTAGAACATTTTTTTGTAGTTGAACACAAACATTAAATAAAAATTTTTTGAAAATATAAATCAAAATAGTGATACAAGCTTTGAATAACCTTTGTGTAAAACACATTATATGTGCTTTAAATTTATAAAAGTGAGAAAGACAAGTAGGCTTTTTTAGTTATTAACAAAAAGTGAAATTTCTTACTGTACAGCGTTTAAAATAGTTATCATATGTATAAGATCTATGCAAAATATAGCAACAAAGATGAATATATATACATATACACAATATAATAACTTCAAATAATAATTTCACATGATGCCTGAAACAAAATTTTTATTTTTAATTATCCAAGTAAGCTATATATGAAATATATATGTATAGGTACAAATCAGAATACATAAATAATAACTTAGAATGTTAAGTATGCTTATTGTTAGGAATTCTCTATAATATATAGAGAAGTATTAAATTATTTCATAAACTGTAAGAAGTAAAACAAAACATAGTTTATATACAAGAAAATTATCAGGAGAATTCCATGGATAAAAAGTTTAATATACCTGAAGTACAGTAGTTCCAGGAGGAACTTGGACTGGTTTATCATCGATGAAGACTTCGACAAGTTCCTGAGATGCTTGCGACTTACTACCTGTCGTATGAAGGCCGACGGCACCGAGTCTACTGCTCGACAAGCCCGTGGCCCTCACCAGTGGAAGCCTCAACATTTTCTGTAATCATAACATCAATTTAACTTTGTTATATAATAAACAACTGGGATGTGAGATATTGAGCTGGAGCTTAACCTAACTTCCGACGTACGGAGTAATTTTTACAAGACGAATAAAACTTGGAAAATCAAATGACGTCAATGTAGAATAGCAAATCTATCAATGTACCTTTCTAGTAACGATTTACTCAAATTTTGATCTAATTAATTTACCAAAACTCGTTTCTAATTAGTAGACCACTTACCTAGGTGTCAGGACTGTCGATACTTGCAACCAGCCCACAAACGAACGGACCATGGAAACTACATAAGGAGCACGACAGAGCACGAACTCCATGTATACATACAGCTTTCCAAAATAAGAGGGCACTGGTGTTCTGTATGCACCGAAAAAGTGGAGGGGCATAAGGCGGGAGTTTAATTAAAAATCATATTTTGATGTACTTCGAAAATTATAAAATAAATAATTTAGCCTAACTTAACTTAAATAAACAAATAATAAAAATTAAAAATTAAAAATGGAAATTACTTGTAAATATTTGCCTGCTTACTTCACATGTATTTATTATGCTATACACGTCACTACAAAAGGGAAACTAGCGACGCTAGTGGTACAGAAAGAAAAACTTAGTGTGGACGAGATTAGTAAGCAGGTTCTGTCAATTTTTCATTTGAGTTCGTGCTCCTTATGTAGGGTCCATGGTCTGAACCATGCTACGAGATAATGAAATTATTCTAGATTAGAGAGATTTAGCTTTTAATCCATCGATTCTTATAACGTAGTGCACGGTCCACGAGTGGATACGCAAGTAGATAAGACTTTATTTTACAGTAGATGCTAAAATTAAGCTGCTGTTGCATATGATTTTAACTAATAGTGTAGTATAAGTCGAGATATTTCATATTATCAATAAATGGATTTCAAGGTATAAAGAAAATTTTAGGAGTTTTCAAAATTGATACAGCTGTTATTTCACAATATATTTTAAAAAGGCCTATTTCAATATTATCCTGGTCTTCAATGATTTTCTAAAACAAAAAGTTAATTAAAAGCTTGAAATCACATGAAGATGACCTATAGAGCAAATCACCCACACAGCACAGAAATATTTTGTCAACATTGCCAAAAGTTTCCCTTGAAATAATGCAATATTACCGGAAATATATTGAAAATTGTTTAAATATTTTTAGAATGTTGCAGGAACCTTGCAATGTCCGCTCAGCACGTTGCAATCATAATATTGCTATAATATTGCCGGTCAATATTTTGGAAATATCAATGCATAATATTAATAAAATATAACTCAGATAGATAACTGAGAAATAATATAACTGAGAATAAATTCCAATGCCAGCAATGTATCGTGGGTTTCTTTGGGCAGGTTGCCTATACCTCCTTAAATATTACCTCGGTTGTATTTTTAAATACTCCATACAAATGCAATAATTTCACATGTCATTTTTACATGCAGAATACAAAAGTATACATCGACGGCGAAGACGAAAACCGAATAATCGACGGATTAATTATTTACCCGGTCCTACGTTTTTTCATGCGAGTTGCCTTGGCCACCTAGCGGCGCGGCAGCGAACTAGTGTTCGCTCGGATACTCCGAGTCTGGTTAGGGACTCTTGTCACAGATTTCAGCAATATATCAGAAAGTTTTATTTATTATATTGTCCTGAAATATTGTGCAATATTTGACATAAAGACATCAACAATATTGCTGTCGCATTGAAATATTAGAATATTGTTGTAATGTTTTCGAAATATAGTGTGCTGTGTGGGCAATTACATATGAGATTGTAATATCTATATATGTATAAATATACATACTATTAGTTTTTTTTCTTAAAGATGTTTATTTTTCTTTTACTAAACTCAAGCATAAGTTTTTAAAATTGAAAAAGTACGTATAGTGGAATCGTTGTAATAAACAGATGCTCTGGAAAACGATGACAAATTATTAAAAAACGTTAATAGGAATTTTGAAATGATGTACTTTTTAGAAATCGTATGAAAAATAAATCAGCCTAATACAATGATTGATCAGTCGAATTTTCATAGACTTGATATACTAATATATAATACAGCCATTCGTTTAAATGTATTTATACATGAGATTAATGGCTAGTACTGTTAACATGTTAATTTTAATAATAAAAGTATATTTATCTTGAAAAAAATATAAAAGAATATAAGTTTTTTTTTCTTGAGGTAGAAGTCAACACACTTTTGGCACAAGTAGACAAAAAATGAATGATCTAACGTTGCTGTGCCATCGAAGTCGGATAGAGAACCTGTACCGGAAGTGTATGTATTTGTGCTCCAAAAGAAAAAATATAATAATTTCATTTGCTTTACGTACGGTGATTGGTTACATAGAAACGTAACCAGAAGCCAGAGGCATATGAACCGGAACAACGTCACGGTCATAATTTGGAAGTCGATGTGGTAGGATACTTCGCGTGTAGCTATCTCTTCCGGTGTGTAGTCAAGTGAGACTTGTTACTATTAAATTTCGTGTAGTATTTATTAATTAAAGAGACATTTGCAATGGCCATCAGTGACCTTAAGACCGATAAGGGCGTGAAAGACTTGAACGCTTATCTCGCTGAACGCAGCTACGTCGAGGGGTAAGCTTACTTACTCAAATTTCCTTTAATAATTTGATACACGTGCTCCACTTGTCGGCATCTTGAAGAGGAGTACTCCATTGTCGGTACAGTTAATCCTTATTACAGATACTTTTCTGATTTGATTTGATAAGTATTGATATGTTGCTGAATTTTGTCAGTTTTTTAGTTCATGATTCCCTTTCGTGGATGATGTGTCTTAAGATATCTAAATACAGAATGTCTGTTGTCAAATACCTTGTACTATGGTCTTAAAATTATTTTCATAAGAACTAAGGGCCTATATTTCTTCGTGACATATTCTTTTACTATTATAACCTTAAAAAAATTATATTATTTCTATAACAATGTTCATTATTTTCATAATAGATGGCAGCCATCACAAGCAGATGTAGCTGTTTTGGAAGCTTTGGGAAAAGCTCCATCAGCAGCAAATCCACATGTACTTAGATGGTACAACCATATTAAGTCTTATGACCTCAAAGTTCTACCTGGTGAAAAGAAAGCTCCTTCCATTCTTGGAAGCAGTGCAACTCCAACTGCTTCATCGGCAGCAAAACCAGCTGATGACGATGATGTGGATCTATTCGGTTCTGATGAAGAAGAAGATGCAGAGGCTGCTAAAATTAGGGAAGAAAGAGTTAAGGCATATGCAGAGAAGAAATCTAAGAAACCAAGTGTCATTGCCAAGTCCAGCATTGTCATTGATGTAAAACCATGGGACGATGAAACAGATATGAAACAAATGGAAGAACTCGTCAGATCTATCAGTATGGATGGCCTTTTCTGGGGTGCTTGTGAGTATAGTTCACTTTTAATACTAAAACAGAAACAAATATTAAATAAGTACAAAATTTAACGTATCTGATTGTTTTCCAGCAAAACTTGTGCCAGTAGGGTTTGGTATAAAGAAGCTACAGATCATGTGCATTGTGGAAGATGAAAAAGTATCTGTAGACCTACTAATTGAAAAGATTCAAGAGTTTGAGGATGTAGTGCAATCTGTCGACATTGCAGCTTTCAATAAGATTTAAATAAGTCTCCTAATTTTTACTATCGCATTAATAAATATTACTTGTTTGTACATACAAGTTGTCATTTAATTACCCAATAATCTCCTTGCATAAAGTGAGTTTCAATCAGCTTTTTGCATAAATATTTGGTAATGGCACTAGGATATTTAGATATATTTTTACTGTAAACTATTTTTTATTTATCACGTGTATATCATTACTAATTCATAAAATGAACACTATTTTATCATTCTATATTCAAAATTTGTTTGACATAAATATCAAGAGACTCGGTAGATTCTCATGCCGATTACATAAATAGTTAAATTTTATTGATGGTTGAATAAAAATAACATTAAAGTATTGATCTATTCTCTTTATACAAATTTTAACTTTTCACATACTAATTATTCCATGATAATATTCTTGAACACGAATAATTATTAACATAAAATATAAAAAAGTTTGATGAATTGCACAATGCACTATGAGAAAATGAAATGCAAATGTAACAATCAAGAAAAATTCTAATTCAGATAAAAATGATGGATAAAAAACTGTAAACGGCAAGGTGCCCTTAGCAAGAAGAGAATAATTTAACACGTGCAAGAAAGACCAAACAGGTTTTTGAGTCATTTAGAAAAAATGCAAGACGAATTAAAAGTTTTAACGTGTACAAGAAATCCGGAAAACAGTAAAACAAAAAATACAGTAGAGATGCATACTCTCCCATCTTCAGTCGTTTATTTAAAAGAATGTTATGATTCTACTAGGTACACGGAACAAATGTTCTCTCTCTCTCTCTCTCTCCATTCCCATCTTTATATTAGTCTTTTCCTTTTCTTCTTTCCTACATTCAAACGTATACCTCTCCCTTCTTGAACTGAATCAAACTCCAGAAATCATGATTATGAATTCATATTCTAAGAGATATAAATTTTGATCCAGGAAATGAGTACGCTTCGTTCATTTTTAATGATTCATAAATGATTTATGCCCTAAAGAGAAGGAAAAAAAAAGAAAAACAAACGAATATTTAAATAACACTTTGTGCTCACACGATAGAGACCGTTTCTAGAAGGAGACAAGGTCTCACAGGTCTACAGAATAATGAAAGAATGAATCAGTACCAAGAACAAAGATTTCATGATTACGTTTTGTTCAACTGTTCGTAATTATTTAACATTTTTCCGGAGAAACTATTGGAAAATTTTTTTTTTTTCGCTCACTTGTGTAATCGGGATTTTACAGATTATTATCTGGAATGAGAATCCTGAAAATCCGTGTTGAAGATTACCGAACAATATTTATGGCAAAATGTAGACAATGGCATGCAGTAAAGAGATGTTTTACTGCATTTTTATTTCGTTCTAATTTACATGGATATTCGACCATTTATCGTGCATTAAATTAGTTACAAAGACGAATGTTAATAATAGCAACATGAATAATTATTACATGAAACTATAGGTATATACTATTATATATCAATTATAAATCTATATATATAACATATATAAAATAAATTGATATACAGCATAGAACAAATTGTTCTGTATGTTAGGAAATGACGAATGGGTCGTGCAAATGATTACAGTCCTTCAGCTAGTAAAATTGGTTTTGGAGGATACTTTCTAAGTTTCGATATAAAAGTCCTTTCTATGTATAATTAATGTAAATACAATATTTTTATACACTTTTCTACTTACGCTTTGAAAATTTTAATCTAGTTACTATATGTACTACCTTCCTCAAATCCTTGTATAGTCGGTCCACGTGTTTGATAAATTTTCTTGACAGACCGGAAACAATGAAGTTTCTAGCAAGGCACACATGTCACTGGATAAAACGTTTATCACAAAATACGTATATATATAGTTTTATACAAGTTACATTTTATTTTTCTATCTCAACATATATTTACGTTATTTTATGAAAAACATTTTCTAAGGATTGCATAGCTTAAAAACTGTTAAAAAACATACGGAACTTGTAAACCGACTATAGTTATGTATGTGTCGCATACAATTTTTTACTGAAAAACGGATTTAGTTTATAAACTCTCAACTATTGTCCTAGACTTTACGTTTTATTTGTGACACAATAATATAAATATATAATTAAATAGTCGCACACAACACATCAGAATATCTGATTTTAATCAAAAGCAATATCATTCTGCTCTGCCATCTACGTATAAGTCCTGTAAATGTTGTATATATTCAATAACATACAAGTCATTAAAACATTAAAGTCGCCATATGACATAGCAGAAGAATTGTAAATGTAAAGAGGACGTAAGATTCTTTTGGAGATTTATCACGGAATTTTGATTAGTTAGTCAAAACATTAACCTTTAATTGGGTCATGTTCTGGGGAAATCCAAAGACTGAAATAACCCCAACAATTTTATACTAATAATCATAATTATTTCTGACATAATGTATTCACCAAGCGATGACAGCGTTATTGACTTTCATATATGCTCCTCTCAATTCATTCAAATATGATATGCATACTAGATAAATGCATGAGAGTCATGAGATCCCATACGTGAATATCAATTACGTACATTTCTACAAAGATATAAGTACGTACATTCAGTCGGTTAAGATCCTATTGTTAAAGTATATGTAGAATCTAATTGAATTATTTCTATAGAGATATATACCGACATCCAGTCGAATGGGATCCTATTGTTAAAATATACGTATAGGATTTTAATTTGATTCTACATCAAGATCACACCAACTTCTGCTTTACGGTATCTTACTGGCGTCTGTGTTAATAGCTAACTTAATTATAATAATCCGTACTCCATACGATTCATCCGTGGCAAACTAACGGACGTTTTTCAAAGTAATCCGACAGAGCGCTTACGCGGGCAAATGAGATAATTTCAAAAAAGAAAACTAAAAATATCAATGCGTGTTAAAGTAACTTAATGTAATGGTCGTACACGTACAAATGGTGTTTTTAATCGGGATGAAATTCCGTGACAGCAACACACTAGGGCTTCTCGATTCTTTGAATGTGATCTTGGATTCCCCACCATATAGATGACGTCACGACATCGACGCATATCGGTATATAAGGCCAGGATTCCGCTAGAGAGTGGACAGTAGTGATCATCCCACGATCGAAAGTTGAATTGTTAGTAAAACTTTTTGTTTGATACAACGTTGGTCGCCATGACGATGATTTTAAACTCAATGACATTTACTGTTGGGACATTCGTGTCTCTTCTATTGGCTTGCGTTTACGGTGAGCTCTTTTTTTTTTAATTTTTATATGTTAAAGGGGAATTTTCGGAATTTTCTCAGTGATTTGTGTAATATATATTTTTAATCTTATCAATGATAAGTCATGGAACTTGTTGCTTAATTTTTAATAAGGATATGAGTGTCGCTTAGCTACAAAATTATAAAGAAGCGTAACGATCTTATGTGTTGTTGATTATGGTAATTAGAATCGACTGTTTTGTATATAAATTTTGTTATTTTGATATATTAACAAATTGAATTCTAAATTCAGATAATATCTTGCACAAAAACAAGGACTACATTGATAAAACTGCAGTTCGCCACTGATACGACTTATGCAAAGTAAAAAAGATTTATCAGCTACCACGCGAATGACGTGATGCTAGTGGAATGTTATAGATTGTTTGTTAGTGGAGTTAGTAAATATTTTAAATAATATTTGTTAGATATTATAAAAGTGAATTAATGATGCCAATTAAGCTCCTTAATTTTTTATATCATTACATGATAGCTGGTATAGGACTATTGACAAATATAAGGATCTCGCGAATATCGAAAATATACTTGGCTTTTGAACGAAGTTTCCTATTGAATTCAGTGGTTGCTGAACACCACGAAACGTGACGTGACTAAAAATGGACGTATTAGTGTAAACGATGGCTACAAGCAGAATGACTATACAGTGCTGACGTATCGGCGCATATGAACGTGGAAACTTTTCTAAAATTTTCTGTCACAAGAATTCGACGTTACGAAGGGTGAAGCGAATAAAGTGTCGCCTCTTCGACTTTTCTTCGAGTAAAGACAATCGTGACTATTTAGTCGAAAAAGTTCTAGTCAAAATTTGCTATAACTTAAACAAACTTTTGATAAACTGAAGATGTATTGGTAAATATTATTTGAAAAATAAACAATTTTCACCTGTGTGAAGGGTGTAAAATATAATCTAATATTGGAGTGGAAATGAAGCAAAAAAAATATTGTATAAGACTAATTCAAGTAAGATTAAACGTATTGCTTAATTATTCAAAATTTTATCTACTTCAAAGGTCTCATAACTACCCTCATAAATGTGATTTACTAATAAAAAAGTGAATCTGTTTATAATTTTGCTAATTAAATATCTTGAGCGTTACCCCAGTATACTCGGGATAAAATATTATTGAAGTATTATGAAATAAAATGGTAAGAGTGTAAATCAATTGCAAAAAGAAAGTAGAATTTTGGTAGTCCCTTTGTTCGGTTTGATTTAAATAAAACATTAAAAACTCTCTCCGTAATAAATTTCAATTTAATAAATTCATCAATATGGTCTTTCCGGAGATTTTAATGTTTTTTTTTTTTTTTTTCTTTAATCTGAACCACAAAATTCTCTCAGAGTAAATATTCCGCTTCTAGTACTTTTACGTGATAGGCAATTAGTTTTAATGCCAAAACTGTTCGAGCGATTTTTTAACTGAAGCAATATCGCAAAATAAACACAGAGCCTTTAAAATCATTCATCGACAACGATGAATGATTATCATGGCACGGTCTTCTGGTTTCGATTGCTGAACGCACTAAGTGCATTGAACTCTGAACGCTTGTCCTTCGTAATTGCCAATATTCCTGATTGAGAGTTCCGAGGTCATACCTATACACTCACTGAACGCATTATTCAATATCATAATTATACTGAAGACCGGCAAATATTACATATACAACATATCCATATATGAGAAAGGTGTCTAATTGTAAAACAGCATAACGAATAACACAGCAAACTGTATGCCGTCTAAAACACTTTTCCACTACATACTGACTTTCTTCCGTGTATAAACATCATAATTATCCCTTTTGTAACTGCACTGTAAAAGCTCACATGGAGAGTGCCACACCCCAGTCTACCTTGAAGAACAATATATAACGATATTTTACATTTTGCGCGACTTACGTTACAATAATAATAACGTGTAGAAATAAAATCCAAAAGTTCGACAAGTGCCTAAAAGGTATACTTTCGCGCATAGCATTGTAAAGTACCGACTATGGGGTCTACCAAACCCCAGAAAAGCAACGAAGATACAAATAGCTTCTTTTCGAGTATGACCTCGTTTAAAAATGTGTGTTTAAATACTTAAAAATATTTATGGTAATCTGACTATTCGATACTGGTGTACGGCAAAAGTCCAATAGCCTTTTTAGTGTAAGAATGCAGAAAGATTAATTATCCTGTCTACCATTAGGTTCTCGGTATTCCAGTCCTGACTGGCAGATAATTAAAAAAGTTAGCCAATTATCGTGATAATTATTGTCGTCGTCTTAATAATATGAAGTCACAACTAAATTGATCTTTACATAAGGATCACCGTATATAATGCATATTTATAACGATCCCAAGAATATTCGTTTTACTGTAAGTAGGTATCGCTGAAAGACGATAATTCTCTTTGCACAAGCACTTTTGAGAATACGCTTCTGATTTAATAATAGTGAAGTCAGCAGCATCACGGCAGATAAGAAAGTCCATTAGGTTCAATATTGTTGTACGTGATCGTTAAATGGTAAATAAAGTCGTTCGAATCTAGAAAAATATTGTTCGACTTCTTGGCGAATCGAGCTTTTTAAACGAAAAGTGAAATATACAGTTGTCAGATGAATCCGGGATGCACGATTTTTTTCACCCATATAAAAAAAAAAATTATAAGCAGATATTCATATCCCGTGACTAAAAGCAAAAGCACGCATGTTTTTTGAAAATCATATACGCGTACGTCCTTATGCTGCTAGTGACGTGATATAGTTACAACCGGCTTCCGTTTCAAGCCTGGTGTTTGAGATAAGAGCTTATTCAGGGGTTAAGTAATATCATGTATGCAATTTACTTGAAACATTTGAAAAGCTTGTAAAAGTATATCAACTCTAATTGTATTATCGACCGGTCATTTGATCGTTTTAGAGCCAAAAATACGTTTATAAAAAATTGTCGGTATATTTAGTGTTAAATAATGATAATAGTGTGCTATCGATATATAATTGCGTTTTCAACTGAAGACTAAGCTTCTAAGAGAATTTCTAGGCGAACTGTAATTATGTACGTACATAAGTTTGTACACGGAAGTCGCCATTTCATGCTAACTGACGTTAATGGCAGTTTTGAATGGCGGTGAGGTAATTCTTGCTAATTTCAAAGTTTGGTACTATTTTCGGCTAATAATGTAAAGCATTGACGAGCAAATAATCATATCTTGTGACTAAAAGAAAAAAGGGGTTTGATTTCCTGAAAATCTTATGATTGGTACCCCCTTTTGAATTTAGTGACGCGATATAGTTACAACTGGCTTCCGGACGCAGCTCAAAACCGGCAGCCAATTGTAATCGTACGAACGATAACCGCGAAATTCAATTTTAATGGTTAGAAAACATTTTTTATCAGCTTGACAATGGACAATGGTGTAGGACAAGTATAATTGTAAATATAATAACAAGACTAAATAAGCCTGTTTGGTGTTTGGATTTTCAAACTTTTACAAAATCTGTTCTCATCTTCCCGTCACGTTATAAAAACTCTTTTTTATTCTCCGTCTTCATAAAGTTTGAATAGTCGCTGCGCGAGTAGGTAGTAGAGCGCATTAGGTAGTAGAGCGCGAATAGACTTGGTTAAAAGTCTTGAAATTTTTTATCAAGCTCAATACTGAATACTTGAAGTAATCTTTAAAAATTAGACAGGGGCAAACTTGCGTAAAAAAATTAATTTCAAGTTTTGTTTTCATTGAGAAAATCAAAAAAAAAATCATAAATTCATCATCCATTTTTTATAAGTATTTTTCAATATAAAAAGGAGACGCTTACGTAATTCTTGATGACATTGAGCTATTTTCAATACGCATGTCACCCACAACACTTTCTCCTGTTCGATGACGACGTCATCGTTGCCAAAATATTTCATGGAACTTCAGTCACGAGGATTTCCATTGAAGGCACGAAATCCATTTTTAATAAAATCCCGTACAGGTCAACCAATTTCTTCTTATGCAATTTTTAAACTTTCGAATGATCTCATTTTGAGAATCGAGTTTTTAATATATCAGGGTTTCTAGGAATACTCAATTGATATTTGTAGCAAAAATATGCGAACACATTTCTGTGAGAAATAATTGAATTTGAAAAGTAATCCATACATTATAGTTACTCAAATATTAAGACGTGTAAAAAGTAAACACTAATATTTATACCACACAACAGTGTGCACTCCATTTCTGTGCTACACATCACAATGATGTGACTGTCGTGTTGTGACAATTATTACAATTCGTATGATACTCAATGGTATATAATATGATAGAAATTACATAATGGTATACTATAGACAAAATTATCTGCGTAGTTGATTTAATAAAGAGATTAAATCTAATACTGAATGCAGAGTTAACCAGGATTACGACTGTGTACTAAAAATTCTCTCAAAGTACCAAAAAAAAAAAAAGGTAAAATTAAAAAATATCAATATATACTTTGAAGATCATTTCCAAGACTGTTTCACTAACTGAAAAGTACTTCGAAGTCTTTGCAAAATTTTCCCCTAATTTGCGTGAACAACATATGAGAGGAACCATGGAAGTTCATTTTTTGCATATAAAAAAGAACACAGCAGATGTCCTCACGTCATTTACTAAGAATTGTATGTTGCTTGCTTAATCTCGTTCACCTCAATTTACATTTACCAATACAAATCTGAGATTAAGCCGAAAACAAACTAAATTACGTTTCAAATTACGCCACGTGTATATTTTTCTCTAAAAATTGCATGTCCAATCACTATTAACAGGACTGTCAGTAATTAAAAAATTACTTTAACTTTACGGACAAATACGTATAATTCTTTTTACTTATCGAATGAGTAATTCACACTTCCCTAATGTTCCGGGAACCTTCAATTATCGAAATGTCAGGGTTGGCCAGATTGCCGCGACTGTGTCTGTGCGCGTACTTAAAATAAGAATCACAATTTTCGTCGTCTTATCGTCTTTCCTTATACAACCAAGAAATCTTTGCGCAAACTGATCTCAAGAAGGACATCGAAAGACAATTGAAAACTTTAAGTAGGCGTGCGAGGTCACTTGATGGTGATTGAGATATGTGCGCGATCACGTGTTGTTGATATAACATATGTAAAAATTATGTGTATTTGTATCACAACAATCCGATAATACGTGTACCTCATTGCAATTAGAAAGCGAAAGATCTATTGTGCGATAGAGTTATCTTTGGTCTTGTTAAAAAAATATATATTTATATATACAGAGCTTGCTATGGATGTAAATATTTAATAGAAAATCAATTTTCCTTTAAAAAAAAATCTCAATCTTTTTACCGGCATAATATATATATTACTTTGTATCAGCTTTTCGAGAACCCAAAATTAAAAATTATGTAATAATCGAATCGTTACGAAAACTGCATCAGTGCATCAATTTGCTAATTGCAGACTGCAAATTTTAATGAACAAAATTAAAGTACGCCATATATAATAATGCATGCACATTCGCATATACCAGACATACATACATTCTTTTTACACCCGACGAAGACTGAGTTAGTGCTAAAAATGATTGAATACTTATGTATGCATAAAAATGGGTATCCGCTGACAAGCTCAATGATCCTCCATTAATAATGTAAGTGAAATTCATATAAACTTTCTAGTAAAAGGGTAAAATTGTTAGTGAAGCTACGAGTCATACGAAACTTTTCAAAATGAAAATACATACGAAAAATTTTCCAGGACTCTTAAACCGGACTCTATTAATGCGCGACATAAACACTCACGTTTTACGATCGACGGTGGATACGGGATCCGGTTTTCTAGATGATGCCCGTAGCTATTTTCGAACACATGGTCTTCAGATATTCTAACCGTCCTAAGACAAGTTCAAGGGAAGCTGGTTTCGCGCTCGGATTAATATCTTTATCAGGGGTTGCCAATATTTATTATACATACATATGAGTAGCTTGTTGTAACCGATAAATGAATGAAACAAAATGTATAAATCTCAAGTATTACATGGAATTACTGTACAGCTTTGCATAGTATGCTCAACGAACGTTACTTTCAATAGAATTGACCTTCTTTAAACTACTAAATGCTTGTTCGTTTGAATTCTTCCAGTGAAATATAGAGAAGAAAGTAATTTGTGCTTTTTCTTATATACACGCTGCCGTCAGATGGTTAATACAACGACGGGTGCATTAAATGGTTGTAATCGCTAAGTAGTCACCTATAGTTGCAAGTATATCTGATCGACGAAGTTTTAAAACCGTAGATTGTTTTAATCAACAAGTTATGTTTGCTGTATAATAGTTTAATGTGAGATTGTTGAATGCATTGACATAGTAAGAGAAGCATTGTCGACACAATAAAGAGTATTTGTATCTGGACAATGTCTACAAACAGTATTTTAATGCCTATTTATGTTTTAAAGACATTCTGAAGTACCTACGCAGCACAGAATGTACGTGGGACATTCACAGGACACTTGTGCTGTGTGGAGTATAGATGAAAATTTTAAAATTATACAAAAATATATAAGGTTTAATTTTTAGTTATAATGGAACTTTGAATATGATCAAGTTATACATGAAATGTAATATAAAATATGGACGCATCTTGCATACAAAGTTAGAAGCATTGGAATGCTTCTATTTGGAAAACAGGACGCTGCAAGAAATTTTTTATTTTTTAGAGACCAAATACAACCAATAACTTGCGTTGTATTATTCATGAATAATTTGATTCCGTTTAACAGACAAAGGAATGACTAAGGATTCTGGAAATAGTATCCAATTTACCTAACGGCCCATCCCAAAAAGGACCCATAAACATGAGTGAATGGTATAGGAATGAAAAAAAGTTTAGTTTTTTGAAACATTAAAATAGAATTAATTCATTTCATTGATAATGTTGCTACCGAGCAAACAAGTTTGTCTGATCGATGAAAAATATGCGTTTATGGAAAAATGACTGTTGAACGGTCGATATTATTTTTCTGACCAACAAGCTTGATGAGATCTAGAAGAATACGAAGGAAATGAATATTTATGTAGGATGCTATCTTATTTTTTTTTTTAAATAATAAAATACATGACGTTTATCGTTAAAGCCAAAAATGTACAAAAAGAACAATAAAAAAGGAACAGCGCGAGCATTCCAAAGTGATTGAATTATTTGTTTGCTTGTGTTTATAAACATTGCTTGTCCAGAATCGGTCGTTAGGTAAATTGCATACTAATGCAGATGACATCCATGACATATGAGCCTGCGCATAAGTATTTAAGTTTAAGAAAAAAATATTCTTTATTACAGCCCAGCAGGCTACTCAGGGTGAACTACTATCCCAGACCTGCCTTGGATGTATTTGCGAAGCTGCATCCGGCTGCAATGTCACATCCGGTTGCGTCGGTGAAGTATGTGGGCCTTTTCGCATAACCTGGGGCTACTGGGCAGATGGTGGAAAGCCTACTCTCAATAATGAACCTAACACCGTTGAAGGAGGTGCGTAATGAGCTTACAATGAAAGAAGCATTGATTTTGCTACTTCAGTAGCTTTATAATAAATAGAATGTCTAGATGAAAAGTGAATTGATACAATTTTTAACGTATTTGCAGCTTATCCAAGATGTGTGAGTGATCCCTATTGCGCATCTCGTGCCGTGCAAGGATACATGAACAAATTCGGACAGGTATGACGACATTCATTCAGCTGATCAAAAACAATAAGTATCAAATCTTGATATTGATTTTAAATAATTTACATGATCATTATCTTTTTCAGGACTGTAACGGAGATGGAGTTGTGAATTGCGATGATTATGCCCGCATTCATCGGCTTGGCGGTTACGGATGCAGTGGTGGTTTAGATGTAAAATATGAAACTTCCTACAAGACTTGCATACAAAACTTCGGCTAAACTCATCCATTCTTCGTAATTCTCACATTTATAATAGTAAATCGGTCCAGCAATAATTGTAACAACTGGCGTTAGAACAAACTTTTATGAGCGAATTTGATCGACTACGTTAACGAAAACAAATTTTTTTTAAACGATGTGTTACATTAGTCCTTTTAATTGCAAGGGGAAATAAGAACAGTTATTATTTTTTTGGTATTTCGTAAATCTGTCGTATTTAAAATAAATTTCTTCGAATCGAATAATAACGAATTATATATAATGATGACACCGTTGAGTTATTGATAATTTTTTAAATCAAATCTCCATGTTGTAATCGCTGATGTCATAGAATACTCATATATATTCACATATATGTATGTTGCGCATACATATTATATTCTGTATGTAATTCATAACCATACAATCACAATAAATTAACTCACTGTATTTGATTAAAAAAAAAATGTTGAGATTGGAAGAAGTCTTTGAACTATCAAAATATCAATTTTGATCCTTTTGTTGTCAGTATCTTGTCAACGACTTCTGCTCTCTTTTGAAGTTTTCTTACCTCTTCTTCGGGTATGTTATCGCGTTTCATATTTTTAACAAGAAAATGGGATATAAACAACCTCAAACCTTCCCGGAACGCTTGCAATTGAGGCGACAGTGCTATTCTCTCGAAGACTTTCTCGCAGGCTTCAGCACTCTTGTGAAGTAATATTCCGAGTACAATCTGTCTCAGCAGTCGTAGCGTATGTTTATCCAATTCACCAAATTGAACAACCTTAAAGAAAAAAATACTTTAAGCAGGAGTAATATGAACTGCAGTTAGTCCACGATTACAATGTTAAGTCTGGAGGCCTCTTTCTTAATAATAAAAAGGCATAAAACCATGGCCCCTCGAAAACATAATTTACTTGTAGACAAATTATGGAGTCCAATTATTTCACTAAAAATATTATTACCTTAAGAACAGAGAGTGGAAGACCTTTCTCAATGAAAAGATGAGTCAAAAATCGTGCAAGATTCGTCAACTGGTTCCCTGTATAACTTTTCAATGTCTTCAACTTATCCCACAACGTGTACTGAATCGTCATCTACAAATAGGAAAATCCGACAAGATTTGTAAAGATAATTCGTTAAATTGTCGAGCCAGAACAAAATGGATCTACCTGATATTTTCTATCACAATCACAAAATTTTTGAGCCAACACTGCGTAATACGGATTAAATTTTTTTTCTTGTAGACAACAGTCCATTATCACGTAGATAATTTCTCTTTCCTGCTGATCTTTCAGTCCAAGATGATGAAGTTTCTCAAAAGCGTCAAGATAGTCTTCGGCCGTCATTAAAACACAAAATATATTTCTTCTTATGTCAGTATTCATACGTTGTTTACGGGCTAACTCTAATATCTTTTGGCTGAACATCGGTTGCAAGTTAGCGTTATTTTTTGTTGGTTTTGTATCCTCTGAATTGCCTATCCACGCAGATCCAACTATCCACCATTTGCCTCTTTCGTTTACTACAATACAATAATTATTTTCATATATATCAAAAGTTGTACAATAACATTGACCTAAGATTACATAATGCTTTACTATTTGAACCTTACCTTCAAGCAAATCGTTTAATGCAATGTTAAACTGCGTAACGCTGTTTCCTTTGCGAACAAATGTTTTCATAAGCTTCTTTAAGTGTTCTATATGTGATGGATCGTATTGAGGAATTTTTGATACGTTATTATTTTTTATTGCCAGCAATACATCTAACATAAATTTTACTCTCGAGCTGAAAACATGACTAAGTATTAGTGCTTTTATCTATATGTACACAGATGCAATAGGAATAAATAACTTCAAACTATATTAATATTTATATCTTGAAATATATTGATGGACTAATAGAAATTGATGAAGAGTAGAAGAAAAAATTACAATACGGTATCTATAAAACCTTACTTACTTATCCGAAGTAGCAGAACAAGCTTTCTGTTGTAACTTTAGGATCAATTCTTTCAGGGCAATAGGATTATCCTTTCGTAAAGCAAATCCTACTGTTTTTAATATAAGCAGTATTAACTCAACTTCCTTCTCTGTAAAATTCTGTGAGATTTTTTCTAAGATCTGGTAAAGAAGTTTCGATCCATAGACCTAAGGACAACATTTGAACAAAAATATTAGTTATAATCTTATAGAATCATTTATTATTGTTTTTATTTCATAGACTTAGCAGTGTTCATTACTCGCAGAATGAGAACTTACCTTAAAATTATATAAATGTGCTATCATCAAGATCACGTTATCTAATTCCTTATTATCCACTTCTTGCGGTATCTTCAGCATTTTATCAAATTCTTTAACGATTGTCAGCAAAAAGTGTGCACCGACTTCAGTTCCAACATTAGCATGAAGTATTGTAATAAGCATCATATGCTCAGCAACGAGTCTGTCTGGCGTCAAAACATGAGCAACGATAGACTCCATCATGAGCTTTGATAACATCTCATTCATATCATTTCGACTGTTTGACATGTATAATTCATCAACCTAAGAAATGAGTAAAATTAATTGCTACTCGCATAAAATATAATGTATAAATATTGTATAATTAAACTTCTTAGACTACTAATTTGATTGTTAGACATACTTGTGAAGCAATTGCGTGCATATTGTGTTCGGCCAATCGATTGAGCAGACCTTTCAATTGTTTTCGAAGTCTCATCAGCTTTATGCTTTTGTCGTTGTCAGTATTTTCTTGTTTCAACCTTATTGCAGGTGGTATATATTTGGTTTCATTGTTAGATATAACATTACCATCTTTATCTCTTGTTCGACCATATATATCTTCCCAAATTTCATCACGATTTTCATTAATATCAGATTCCGAATCCCCAGACTCTGAAGATGTTATTTCATTGTTTTCGACCTTTGTAGAATCATGAGCTTTTTTAAATTTCTTTTGGTTTTCCTCCCCATTACGAAGATTCTTATTTGCAAAAATAAGCTTTCTTTTACTGTTTTTGGTAGAATCGGTATCTTCCTCCACATTTTCACTTCCCATGTCGGAATCTTCTTGACCGCTGAAATTTATAATGAAATTTGAAACTTGTATGTTATAACTTTTAATTATATAAGATATTCTGCTTAATTAGTATACCTATCCATTTCATTGCTGTCATCAGAATTTAGCATTGCTAAATCCGATACTATATCATTGTCTGAATCGTTTTCTAAATCATTTTCCTCATCTTTGAAATTACCACTTTCAGACGCTGACATATTTTCTGGATTTTCAGTACTATAGGTGCCTGTAGCTACTGCAAAGTCTTCTTCAAATTCTGATCCAGATTCTATACCTGTCAACTGCTTCTCTGTTTCCACAGCCAGTTTTCTATTTTCATCGTCACAAAAATCCAAAATATCTAACTCACAGATAAGGAATTACAATTACTAAAAGGTAAGTTTTCTGGAAAGTAATGAAAACAAGTAAGTCATAAACAATACAACTTTTGGATTATTAAATATAAAATTGAAAGATTAAAAAGGATACAATCCAACCCATCAGAAGCGAAAGACTTTGGAACTGTTTTACTTTTTCTCTTATTTAATTTGAGTTGTTTTTCTAACTGTTTAATAATTTTATCCTCTGCAACATTTGCTTTTTTTAATTGAGATTTTCGTTGAGCTTGCATTTCCCTTTCAAGCCTTTCCTGTTTCCTCTTTCTATCTTGATCGCATTCTACTTTTTGTCGATTTTGTCTAACTTTTTCATTTTTCTCATTTTTAATTGTTACATCAGTCTTTTTATTAGGATTTAATACAAACTGTCCAGGAATTTTAATTTGTTTTTGATAATACTTTGCCCTGCTGATCTTTTTCTCTTGACGTTTCTCTTTACGCAATTCTTTTCGTGTCTTTTGGATGGGCTTGCTTCGTTTATGTCCATGTTTTTGTTTTTTCATAATGGACCTATCAAAAGCTCCTATTGCACAATGATAATAAATATTCTTTAAAATAATTAAAATTACAATACTGTTATCATGTACTATTAGTATACCAAACTTTACTTACAAAATGGGTATGGGTCACATGAAGGTAACCTTATCTTAAAATAAGGAAACACGTGAATATTCTGTAACATAAGGGACAAAGAAGTACATATGATCACTTGTAGAATGGAAAAAAATATCGAACGAAATAATATATACAATTATTACATAATAATGATGACTTTTTTATTTATATTTCACTTCAGTATTATTTACCAATACAAACGTGTCAAATAAGTATTTACTTAGCGCTATCTGTTGTATACTTTTTAAAGGTCTGCCTGTGAGGTCTTCCACTGGCAAGCACTACTTAATTGCAGTAACTTTGCGCATAAGTCGTTTTGAAATGTCTGATACCTCCGATGTAAGTCTTATCAGATCCTGGGATTTGTCAGTTAGGTCGATTTTTGTCTTACGCATTTATAGTTGAAATTCATATTATGCCGAGAGTGATCTATAGTTTTAAGTTAGTCCCAGCCTTATGGAAGTTTACGGCCTAATGGACCCTCTTTACTAGAAACTCCTCGGTCCTTTGCTCCATTTTTTCATAGTACATACATATATGACATTAGAACTTATTTATTTTTACAAATTTTCCCTATTTTTATTAACATAACTTGTTAATTTTTAGTAGGTAAATAATTATACTCTGAAGGAATCAAACGTGATTATTTATCTTTTATAATTCAATATGTCCTTGTAGAAGTCGCGTTCAGGTATTCGAATAAATAAAATAAAGAAAGAATGCTGATTTTTTTAATATTATATGGAAATTTACTATTTTCTTTTTCACTAGTTCGTTTAGGTGAATTTAATAATTAACAATCTTCAAGTTATTGTTCAATAAAAAAAAGGAGACCCCCTTTAGTATCTTCGTAGAAACGATTAAGATTCAAAATCTTTCTTTATTCCGACAATTCGTTATTATAATGCAATTGGTAATTTTTAAATAGAAGGATATTTTCTTAGTAAACAATAACGTATTAACATTTTATGATCAACGATGCTACGTTCGACTGTCGTTTTCAATAAAAATGAACATCTATAAAAGTTGGACACGTTCAAGGTTATACTAAAGAATTAGACAATTTTTTTATTATGAAATATTGGATGTGAACCGTGACAAATATTCATCAGTCACCGCGGCAAATGTTATCTGTTTTCTGTATTAAAAAATATTGTAGTATTACGAATGTGGATAACGAAGAAATCAGGAGTATGATATTGGGTTATAACTAATGCAGTTACTATGGCTAAAGTAAAAGTTGCAATGAAAGATGCATCAGGTCTCAATATACACGCACGGACTTCTACGGTGATGTCTCAGGTATACTGCATATTTATTTTGATATATTCCTTTCCACAGCTAATAACATTCTCATGATTTAACGAAGTACTCGATAGATACTCCAATCTTCTCGAAACATATGGATTCATTTCATTTACAAAGATCACGCGGCGTAAACATCATGACGCATATTGTATTATCCAGCAATTTCGCGAAAATATCGCATTGCGAGTAAATTCAAAAAGAAGCAGGAACATAACTAGTCCACATAGCGACTAAAAGACACGCCCAATTCTACCATATCTATTGAGATATTCGTACAAACATGGAAAATAGATTATAATCTTTTTTCTATGATAGACCATAAATCCGAAATTAACAGGCTTTTCGCAGAAAATTTAATTATTATCAGTACTTAATGACATTTGCGTGGTACCTTCCTCTTTGCCGGAACAATAGTAAAAACTCAATGGTATTGGTTTATTCTTATGTAACCATAACGTTGATTGGCCGTTCATGAGGATACAGTGGTCGAACGTAGGAATCGAGCCTGACGTCAGCCAAGGTACTCGCGTTCGGCCATTTTGTGAGTGTGCGCCCGATCGCGATATTTGTGTTGAGAGGCTGCTGGAGCAAAAGCGAATGATTTAGTTTATTGATAGGCTCGTAGAGTGGTATTACATGTGCTAAGTGCATCAGGCACGATATACTCTAACGTTGCTTAGATTCATACCATGGAGGAAAAGGCGTCACTCAAAGAGCTCGACCAGTGGATAGAACAGTTGAACGACTGCAAACAACTGACAGAAAGCCAAGTGAAAACTCTCTGCGATAAGGTACGCATCTGATACATTGAATCGTTGCCGCCTTGTTTCTTTATCATGCTAATTATTGGTTAGATGCGTCATTCCGACATATTATTACCATCAAAATTACCATCAATATTATATCGGTCCTAGGCGTACTTTCTTCTTATTCAACTGCCGCATGATATGTCAGAGAATATTTGATGATTCAATGTTTCTTAAAACTGAAATTTAATAAATTCTTGCTTTACTATTTTATCCTATTTATGAGATTTTAATTTATTTTCTGTTTTTTGAATATTTCTATGTTCTTTAGGTAAGGAAATGAGTCTCTACCTCTGTATATTTTCTGATGATAACTAGTTATTGAGTATATAATATTTCTAACGTTATTAAATAATTTCTTGTACCATTTTATTACAGACTCTATGTTTTTTGAATTATAAATTTAATAGTGGTTTACTCTTTTTTAACAGATATATAGAATTTCATAGGTCTTTTGAGTTTTTTCAGATTTATAAAGGTATCTGATTATTTATCCATGAAAAACTGTTTGCCTAACAAAAAATAGAGAACCTTGTAGTTCCCAGACATTCAATTCATATATTATGATGTAAAACTCAATTGTCTTTCGCAACTATTTCTTGATTTCTTATGACTAATACTCACAAGATAACAATTGATTAATTAATTATCATCTTGCTGATTTTGTTCATTGATTTATCAATATTAATACATGAACTTGTATTGAATAAAAATAAGCTTTATGATCTCTAGTTTGAAATAGAACTGGATCAATTTTTTAAGAAGCAATATTAATTATGTTGTAATTATATGTTGCAAGTATATTCCAATGAATTATAATATAATAATTCATAATAAATGTCATTATTATATCATCACTCATTCTTCAAACCTTTATTCATAAAATCATTAACTAATATGAAGAAATGATATATTTCAGGCAAAAGAAATTCTAGCCAAGGAGTCAAATGTACAGGAAGTAAAATGTCCAGTAACAGTCTGCGGAGATGTTCATGGACAGTTTCACGATCTAATGGAATTATTCCGAATAGGCGGAAAATCTCCAGACACAAACTACCTGTTCATGGGCGATTACGTCGACCGTGGTTACTACTCAGTGGAGACTGTGACTCTGCTAGTTGCACTTAAAGTACTTTATATATTTATTATTTGCTTAATATTTATAATTCTATACAATTTCGTTAACTTTAATAAATATTTGTTAGGTTCGATATCGCGAGAGAATAACAATCCTTCGAGGTAATCATGAGTCCAGACAGATCACACAAGTCTATGGCTTCTATGATGAGTGTCTACGCAAGTATGGCAATGCCAATGTTTGGAAATTCTTTACGGACCTCTTTGATTATTTACCTCTGACTGCGCTGGTCGATGGTCAAATCTTCTGCCTTCATGGTGGACTCTCGCCATCCATCGATACCCTGGACCACATTCGCGCCCTAGATCGTCTTCAAGAGGTGCCACATGAAGTATGTACAGAATATACAATTATAAAAAATTATTACATAAACTTCACTGTTAACTACTTGTCAATATTAAAATAGTAAATATTTTTAGCTCCATATTCATTGAACTATACATATTGATAATGGCCTTTTGGCTTCTTTGATATGATGGACGACTGCATTAATCAGTAATATTTGTTTCAGGGACCTATGTGTGACCTCTTGTGGTCGGACCCTGACGACAGAGGAGGATGGGGTATTTCGCCACGTGGAGCAGGCTACACCTTCGGTCAGGACATCTCTGAGACCTTTAATCACTCAAATGGCCTCACTCTCGTTTCTAGAGCTCATCAGCTTGTGATGGAGGGTTATAACTGGTAATGCATTATTTAAAACCTTAATTACCCTCAATAATTAAAAGTTTCATTGAAAATATGATTGTAACTATCCCATGTCTTTGCTAGGTGTCACGACCGGAATGTCGTAACCATATTCTCCGCGCCGAATTACTGCTACCGTTGTGGTAATCAAGCTGCTATCATGGAACTGGACGATGCATTGAAGTACTCATTGTAAGTGCAACTTAATTGAATGTTTTTTTCGCTCTTGATGTAATGATTTATAGTTTCTCATGAATCACGTTTAATTTCGTCTAATAACCTAAACCTAAACCTAAATCTAAATATCTTGTGGCATTAATAGCATTGTCATTTTTTATTTCAGCCTTCAGTTCGACCCAGCACCAAGGCGTGGCGAGCCACATGTCACTAGACGAACACCAGACTACTTCCTGTAAAAGGTTGACCAGCACAGAAAAAAATGGGAGGTAGTTGTTAAGGTAGGGAATGGAACGATGATGATGGCTTTATAGTGATGCCACGTTAACATAATCTATTATAGAACGATTGGTTATGAGGTGCGAGAGATCGGAAACTACCCTTACACGCCATATATAGTCTCAAGTATTATATCATGGCCCATTTGATGATGGTGTCTCGTCGAGAGTCATCCCACTCCCCACACACACAGAATGGCGCCATCTTGGCGCTTTTAAATACATCCTAAGAATACAGTTAGACAGCGGGAGGGAGTGAGAAAGAGGACAATGAAAAAAAAATATTATAAATGCGCGTACACGCTACATACTATTCACACTCTATACTTACAGAGAAATGCAGAAAACACGGGCAATGTAAGACTTGAGTATAAAAAGAATCGTAGAAATGTTTAGGAATGGCCAGACAAACAAGGCAGGGCTGATAAGATCGGTAAGAAAGGTGTTGATATGAAAGGGTGAACCGGACATTGAGAACGCTTTTTTCCACGAATTAAATGAATTATAATGTAAACCGACACACGTACCTAAAAATCGAATACCACCCGAAGACGCATTCAGTTTTACAAATCTCCATACATGTATCGCTTGTATTTTTCTTATTGAGAGACAAAAAAAAGAATACAACACACATTTGAGTGCAATCTTTATTGTAAAAGAGGAGGTTACACGAAGAAGTGCTGAAATTGAAGGAATTGGAGGTTATGATTACACTTTGACTCACAATAGTTTCGGAGTCTCGTGTGAAGCTTTGCTTCACAAATAGAAAAAAGGAATGCATAGACGGGCAAAATGAGAATTTTTAGTTGAGAGAAAAAATCACCACGTACATCTTTTTCTCTATTAATCTAGATTAACCCATGTGTCGTGTTGATCTTAGTACGGAATGAAATATCCGCCCGAGGCTTCGTAGTCATTGGCCTTTTTTTCAATTTTTGTTTACTTTCTACTCTAATTTTTCCATTGCGAGTTCACCATTTATACATTACAATGTAGTCGTGTATTTGAAAGTGAGTACCATGATAACTGTCAACTTCAAATACCTACGCACTTTTGGATAAAATAAAAAAAATCGACAGGGACGAGCGTACGTACGTACGAACGTCAAAAGAAACAATTAATAATATTAACAAGTGAAGTTAATGGCTTGATGCAACGGTAAAGCCTCTCCTCTCCGGGTTATTATATCTGGGTACGCTTTTTCGAAGCATTTACAATGAAAAAAGAAAAAAATTAATTCGTAAATTCATCATTTTATCCTGTATAAGAACACTTGGAAACCATGTGTAATTTTCAAACGTGACGTTTTCACTACACCATCCTAGTACAAAAAACGGCTACACACTGTTTAGTGGACTTTTCTCGCACAGTCCTTTATATGTATACCATCCATCCACATTCTTTTAATAATATAATCGCGTAATTCCTTCTCCTCCTTCTCCTCCTCTTCCACCCCCATCACCCATCATTCACGTTTGAACTTTTTCTCGTTGCTGCATTTAGTAGCGGGATCAATCTTGCTCTGCGGCTCGACACTTGCATCAAGCCCCTCTTTAGTAGTAATTATTGCACCTGTATACACAACAAAACGCGCGATATGTACGACAGTGAATTTACAAGCAATTCCGAAATTTTGCGTATAACGTTTGCGTGACGTTTTGCCAAGTCGATTTAGTGCATATTAATACATAAGATACGGATCACGAGGAGACCAGCAAACAAATTAATAATAAACGAGAGGAAGTGGATTGAAAGAAAAACAAATATATATGTGTGTGTATATATATATGAATATCGAGAGTAATAGTTGTATCGCGACAAATAAGGATGACCTTTTTACTAATTGTAAAAGAATAACGATAAGGCAACGCTTCTTGGTATTATTAAGAGAAAATTAAACAAAAAAATTCAAGAAAAAAAAAGGTAAAAACATGGAAGAAAATCGAGCAAATAATAAGTATATGCATGTACGACGTAACAAGAGAACGAAGAATAGCAAGAGACATGCGAGAAGTGTGTATCCCAAGGAATATAAGAATTTTCAGTAAAGCACGGGAACTCTGGAAACAGTTATTGTAAAGCAGAGGCTGGGGATGAGCAAAAAAAAATAACACATACAGAAACGTATTTCGCAGTGAAATAAGCATGCGAATCGAATATATGCATTGCTGAATTATTATAGTGTATGATTATGCTTTTATAGTGTTTGGCTTTTTCTTTTAATTCGTTTCGGCATTAGCCAAGTGTGAACTCGCATCTATATCTCACAATTCGTCATTGTGCTTATGCAAGATGCGCTTTACATGCGTGTTTACGGTACATAAAGAAAGAACAAAAAATCCCATGGGATTTTATCATGCGGTGCAGAAGCTTGTAACTAAATAGAGTAAGAGTCAAGAAGAGCAGGACGTGATGCAGTGTAAATCTTCCTCGAATAATCTCCAATTCTGGCCCAAAAAGTATTGTACATTATATGGCGTCTGTTTGTCTCTCGAATTGTACAGTGAACTGCCTGCGTGCAGTGTACCTGTTGTTAAAAGAAAAGAAACAATATGGCGAACCAAAAGCCACGCGATACGTAAGGTGATCACTCGTGCTAGTTAAGACGAGATAGATATAGAGATAATCGTTGAGGCGATGTTACTATTTCTTGAAATATTCTCTTTGGTTGTTTACCTTTTTTTCTGTCCTTACGACTATTAATTACATTGCAACACGTAACGAGCAAATTTTTGTTGTACCACAGTTTAGTCACGAACCAGATATCATCAGCAGAGCTGTAGAGACGAATTGTAATAGCCAACTTTTTGTAAACGCTCATATTTATTGTATTGTATGCTCCTGGCGTAACGAGGCGGCATCCATAGACAATATTTTCACTAGCAAAGCTTTTCCAGCTATTGCGTGAGTGTTTGCCAATTTGCACTCTTATGCAACGTGTGCAGTAGATTTATGCAGGAGTAAGAAGGTGAGGAGGGAAGAGCTTTGTTGTTGAAAATGTTGTTGCGAGAAGTTATAGATTTTGGGCGGATGGATTGAGTGTTGTGACGACAGAAACGAAAAGGTTAAATATAGGGAACAGCGTCAGACGCGACGGTAGGGAATGTGCATGCGCGCGCAGACGTAAATTTTATATTATTATTATATACTATATTATATACTTACATACAGCCATAACACATACACGTACGTGCATACACGTGGCCTCTATGATATTATTCGAGAGCAAACGCGTTTTTTTGTCTTAATGCTTTCTTGTGTTTTAACTATTCTCGTGCCACACTTTTCGGAAATATTAATGGTCGATTTTTTTGTCTGATCGGCGAGAGTTCAATCCTCGTGCACCTACATAAACGCTGTTACGAATAAAATGTATTTGTTACTCAAGTAATTTTGAAGAGATAATGACGCGTGATTATATATGCATTTGTATATGTATATATGCGTGCACACGCATTATTGACAAAATATTTTGAAAAAAAAAAAGATTGAGCCATTCTTTTGTCGCCCATTGTAATTTGTGGCGAGATATCTGTGAGCTGTTCACGTAACATTGCATTTAGGCTCGGTTTTGTTTCTTTTTTTTTAAGTGAAGTGATTTGTGTCATTTAAAAAGATCAAAATTTAACGTGTGGCTATGGTCATTAAAAAAAAAAAAGTATATTTACCATACGATTAGTATTATGAAATGGCTACATTTAGGTATACATGAGTCACATACAGAAGCACGCACGAGGAAAGTGACCAGAAATTAAAAAATGAATGGAGCGTCTTATAAGAGGAAAGAAGGAGGATCGGAAAGAAATACGATGAGACTTTGGCGAGAGGGAAGAGACAGATCACAAATGGCCAAGCGTAAGCTTGTATTGTATTCTGAAACTAAAACGAGGAAAAAAGTGAAACTTTGTTGAGATCATACGTCATAATTTTTACTTTTCATCTTTCATGTTTACTCTTAATTTATATGATAATCGATAACGACGATGCTGAATGATAAGAGAGTAATTAACGATTATTGATGAGATAATAAAAATATAAAAGTACAAAAGAGATATTTCGCCAGAAGAATCATACGTCCGTTCAAGGTGGCAAAGAGCTAATGAAGATCAGGGACGGGAAGAAGAACAAGAAAAATGATTCGTTGGCTTCGTGTTTCATTCGAAAAATTTTATATCAAGATGCGGTACCTAAATTTTTAGCTTTCCTCGCAGTTCGCGCTATGATCTTTGTTACTTGGCGTGTTGAGGGCACTGCTAGGGACAAGGAGGAGGTGGTATATATACTGCAAAGATGTAGCGTGGGAGAGATAAGTATTCTCATTGTTAAGTAAAAAAATATTTATTTAATAATTAGGTACTTTTCGAGTACGCTTCCTTTCATTTTCATCTTTTTATCGTTTCTTTACCAATACGTCGTCGACTTTACAATCTCCAATAAAAAACAAACTAATTACATTCAGACGTTTGATTCCACATTGTATGTACACCTGCACGCATATGTGTTTTATATCATGTTGTCTTCGGAGATTTACAATGATTGTGAAGATACACGCTGTTACAATGATTATCTTATTTGGAATTAATATAACTTAATCTTTTACGAAAATTAGCAAACGGTAGAACACTATTAAATTGTCTTGTTTCAGTTTTTGTGCTTCCGTTTGTTGAATGTCTCTTTATTATTTGTCTGCTTTTGTGTGTGCATTAGTTATTGTCTTAGCACCCGTCTTCTTTTCCTTCTAATGTCTTTCGGAATGACAAAAGTAAAATTTATCTTGGAAATGGAATTGAAGGATATCTACGTATTTTTTGCAGTCTTGTAAAATTATGATATATGACAATTTTATAATTGTCTATAATTATTCCGAATTGACTATTGTTTCTTCAAATTTCTTAGTTTCATTTCTCTTGTACCTTAACGATATATAGTCAACTCTACCTAGATTATTTCAATAATTACAGAACTATAAAAAAAAAAGTAGTTTCATTTTTTTACATTGCTATCATTGTTGGTTCAAACATATATTACATTCCGCCATTAGTAATATAATATCCTGCGTATTATTCATTTGAACATATCGTTCATTAAAGAATAATAAAATGATAAAAAATCACTGTTTATTCTTTTTTTTTAAGTTTTGCAGTCATTCCTGTTCTAGAGAATTATTTTTTGTTCATTTCAGTGCTTGCGTAAAACGCTGTTTAGTGTTACGTAACAGATACTAATCATTTTAAACAGACACAATGATTTACAAATTTACGTGTCACAAAATTACAGGATATCCTGAGTACATAATTGTATCTTTTACTGTCTACAATTAGGTTTTACTATTTTTGTTTAAGTCTTTTTTACCTCAAAAGGCAACCTAGAAGTCGATTAAATTAATAAATAGTTTAATCACTGTTAAAGTTTAGCTCCGGTGTCTAAGTTCAATAATTGTTTCATAACTTCATAAGTTGTGAAACTTACTGATACCATTGGAATGGCGCGTAAGTAATTAATGCTCATACCACGATAGAGACCCTTCACGATACCATTTTCATGATAGATTATTCTCATCGTGGCGAACATACCAGACCTAAAATGGAAAACAATATTATCAATTGATATTCGAGTGGTTTTAACGCTTAATGCCCTGTGACTTTACTTACCCATATTTGTAAGTCTCTGGATTCATCATAGCTAGTTGCATACGTCTTCGCGTAACGTCCATTGGATATGAGAAACTCTGCGCAACTGCACCAGCAAAAGCACCGCATATCAGTTTTGCTGGTAAAGTTAGCACTAAACCACCAGTATTTCTATTGCACTTGTTGCACAAATATTCTGGAGCATACCGCATACAGAGAAACTTAAGCTTTTCAAATGTATAAAATGAAAAGCCTGCGTAAGGTACCATGCCTAAGATGGTTGGCCAGAATCCTCGATACAAGGCCTTCAGTCCTCCTTCCTGAGCAGTATGAAAATTTTATTAAAAAATTATATTTAACTTCAACATTTCTTTCGTAATTCAGATTTTACCTCACGGAATATACTAGATGCGGTGTGTACGATACCAGTGTATATATGTTCACCGGATATTTGAAAAGCCAAACGAGCACGTATTGTATCCAATGGATAAGTTAAAGTTACAGCTGTGACGCCAGCAGCAGAACCAGCAAAAAATTTGTCAATATGTGTATGATTTCCTAGAAGATTACCTAAATACTGCAGAATACAATTTTATATATGTATATATAGATAGATATATATAAACATATTAAAGGGCAGTTTTAAGGGCATGCGACACTCACAACGGCAACCCGATATATTTTTTTTTTAAAGAGAAAGTAACCCTGGGACACGTGGTATTAAAATTCTAACCTAACCTAATCTAGCGAATTATTTTTCAGCCCATCACAACTCCGCGTCCAGCATCAAAAATTTTTTAAAAAATTTTGTGTGAGTGCCGCCAAACGGTCCTGGAAGCATACGATAGACATAAAAGTTTTCCGGGACCATCCTGGAACACAACAAATGTCCTGGAAACTGTCAATATGCAAGTAAAACAATCCTGGAAATTGCCCTTTAACATAAATATATGTATAGGTATTACTCCAAAATATTACTGTATTCTTCATAATGATTTTTGGAATTTATAATTACCTTTTTATAGAATTCAAAAGAAGTGAATTGCGTGGCTGCATATGGAAAAATTCTGACCATTTGTGCACCATTTCCTTTATATAAAGCTAAAATAGTTTCTTTTCTAATAATTTCCTGCAGTCCTGAAAAAACTCCTGGAGAGAAATATCATTAGTACCTTCAAGAGAATTTTTGTTAGCAATTGAGTAATTAATTTTAATACCCAGATGCTTGTAGTGTTTGTTATGGGCCTGTAGCAATATTTTTATTCTATCTAGTGGAGCAACTGCAGTTTTTGAACACATACCAGCAATACCTGGAAGAATAGCAATAAACAAATATTTAAAAAATTATGTTTCCAAAAATTTTTATCTTTTTTACTAATGTGACAGAAACAATTAATGTTAGAAGAATGTTGGTTGGTGGTTTATAATTAGAAGTTGTTTCATGTGTTGATCAATTCGCAGTCAGCTTAAAGAAAAATCAATGCAATTCAATTTTACAAGACATTTCCACAACCAGGTTGGGGTCCTACTCAGGTGCCTGAATATATATATTTTAAACTGTATAAGTAAAAAGATAAAGAACATATCTGTTTACAAAAATATTGAAATTTCTTGAATAATAATTATAAATTATTCAAGTATGTATTGACGTAATGTAAAATATTACACTTAGTTTTATGAAGTTATAGGGAAAACTCACGGTACTCATATGCCATCCAAAAATTATTGGAATGGTTGAAAACAGCAATAAAAAATAAAATAGAAACCAGCAACGACCAGTCAACATAGGTGGATCAAAGTCCTTTATGATTCCTTCTATCACAAAACTATATTAATTCTCACACCTAAGGTGGACCCCAAAGGGTCAAAATGTTTAATATCGAATTACATTGATTTTTCTTTAACCTGACTGTGAACTGGTTAAAACCTGAAACAACTTTTAGTTGACAGAAATATTATGTTAGTTGAGATAGGCATCGGAAGCAAGGAATTGTATTTAGTGGAAATACATTAAAAAATTTTAAGAAATATTAACGTTGCTTCATGTTATTTATTTGTTAATTATATAATGGCACTATACATATATATAAAAATAACGTTGAATATTCGTTTCTTATAATACAATAGAATTTCACTCTGATAATGTAATGACAGTTTCTATTTCTAACGGGAAATTTTGAAGAATCAAGTTTTCTTTTAAATTTATTGTTATACTTACCACCGGCAAAAAGACTTTTTAATACGAATTCAAAATTTTGCTCATGTTCTGCACGAAGAGACATTGTTATATGATTGTTTCACTTATAAAAACACAGGAAAGAATCTACCACATCGGACGAGGAACGTCAAACACGAATTAATACTGCCAGGTGACGTTCTCTCTCTTTCTCTCTCCACGAATACGGGTCACTGACCTTGACTGACGTTTCACCGCCGCGAAATTGGGTTAATGCCCCCATTCATATGCTAGTACCAATCTAGGGATTCGTGTCTAGAGAATTGTCATGTTGCAAACAAAAATATCCCTAGATATAAAAGTACGTAGAATAGGCAAATTGTAGAATGTCATGTCGATAGTTGTAATCAGTGGCGGCTTGCGTATAGGCACTGTGGAATTGCAGCACTCCCTATTTTCACTTGATATTATTAATAAAATGTAATATCAGAGATGAGTAGGGAGATTGCCAATGAGCCTGTTTTTGGTGAAGGCAATTTTTCTCTGGTTTCGGCGCGCCACCTTAGCGGAGGGCCCTCGAAGCAGTTCCACGTTTTTGATTGGTCGTGTATATATAGTAATACTACGCGTGATAATCTGGAGCTGTGTTTTGGCGCGTCGACGCGCCACCTGAATGAGACTCTCGAACTAGTTCCACGTTTTTGATTGGTCGAATGAATTCGTGTGTTCCTCGAGATCCACGATTTTAAACCGGGTGAACACTCAAATAGGGAGACTTGTATCCAACTTTTTTTTTACAGGATATTACATAAACCGTAGTAATAAGGTAGTCAATACTCTTAATAATCATATGAAGCTCTGCAAATAATAGAGTAAGCAAATAAAACTTAAAAAAAACTCTCGAACGTGGGTAACTACACAATTACAAATTTGCTAAATAATATACCACAGACCAAAAACAGGCTCATTGGCAATCTCCCTACTCATCTCTGGTAATATAATGAAAATTTTCTGGAGCAGTAACCCCACTAATTTAAGCTATGAGCCGCCACTGGTTGTAATTAGTCATAACGTTACGTGTAGTGTAAACGATCCTTAAAAGTGTTTTGGAATTTTTCCGCTACGTGGCGATACTTGAAAACAATATTTAAAAAAGCTTCAATATTCAAAGTTTAACCGATAGCTCTAAAATATACGTATAGCGAAGATTTTCTGGACTGTGCACTGTATCTCTACTTGTATTCCGGTAAGTTAATTTTATGTGATTGTTTGTTTCTTTTGTTTTTTGTGACTAAAGATGAATTTGATTGCATTGGAGAAACTCATGTGGGTCGCAATAGATTAAGTTAAACAGATGTCTGGATAAACTTTATATTTGTGCGATTTTTGGAGATTATTTATAGAATGAATGAAAGTTATACGTGTTATGAATGATAGATCGGAATTTGTTCAAACTTTCAAATACTGTTCTTATTTTTTTTTTATTCATTTCGATTGCCGTGACCTTGAGTCCACCAGTAATGGCAGAAGCGGTTTTTCATTTTTTATTTTCATGATGACTATGTAAAACCAGGTCCACGAACCACATCAAAATAACAAATATTAAAACAAACTTTGCCATTTAAGGCACGTTGACAATATTCTTATAAACGTGCAGTTTCTTTAAAAAAATGGCACTGAATCGTATATGTCCATGCTGCCCTTCAAATAAATAATACGTGAATCAGATTTGTTTATTTCTATTTTATTTGTTTTTGTTTTAAAAAATATTTCATATACCTATACATATACATATAATGTAGTTGCTACATTAGATTCATATCTCGTGACTCTTTTACACTGTGAATTATAAGGGGATGATCCTTTTAAGTGAAACTGCACTCTTATTATGGAGCTATGTTGCAGATTAAAACATGTTTCTCTTAGGTCTAATCGTGATAAAATTTTAATGCATTCCAAATTTATATTAAGGTTCGAGAATAGGGCCTTCTGCTAATATGAAATAAATGTGAAAACGAAAATATACAAAATGCTAATTAGATTTTTTATGTGAAGTTAATAATATTTTTAGAAATTCATAGCCATGGATCAGTTTCGGTGCAATCAATGTTTTGCGAAATTTGATCGATCGAAGACTGAATTCTCCCTCTTACAATGTGGTCATTTATTTTGCGGCAAATGCAAGTCACAAGGTAAGATAATCATTCCTGATTGATAATTGAAATGCAATTAAGTCATTCCTTCGATCTATACGTGTTATTAAAATAGTAAAAAATCGAAGTTAATAATACAGTTTAACAATGTTTCTTGCATGGCTCATAAGCGGGAAAACAATGTCTCGAATGTGGAACCGAAAATGCTCTTTCAGTTTCTCTGAATGATCCATTGCCGCAGAACATTGCCCCTTATTTTACCCCAATGCAAGAAGTACTACAAAAAGTTGTACAAACGGCAACATTTCAGGAAAACCAGTTACGCATCACGTTGCGTAAATATGCAAAATTGGTACGTCAAATGTAAAAATGTTGGAAGCAGCTTGGATTAGCCAATAGTATTTAAAATTATTTTTTTTCAGGAGTCGAAATACATTGCAATGAAGTCAATTTATTGGCGTCTGGAACACGATATGAAGAATGTTATGCAAAAATATGTAATGCTAGAAAGAAGTATGCAGGCTCAGAAGAGTAAATTACATTATCCGGAAATGGAGTGTAACAAAACAAATGTCGCATATCGTCAAGGGGAAACTCCCATGTCATGTACAGAATCTATAAGCTTGCACACTGCCACAAGCTCTCGGTAGGAACTGTTGAATGTTTTGCGAAAAAAAATTTGAACTCGTTTTTCCGACTTTCATAATGGTTTATTTTTCTTAGATTGCCAAAAAATTTAAAATACACTCATAAACCAAAAGTGATTACATCACACCAAGATTCTGCACACGTCGACATGAGAATCACTCCTACTGGAAATCGATTTTTGGTACCATCCAGTCGGACAACGAGATCTTCTGGCTATGCTTCAGAAATTTCCGGGGGTATTTTGGAACGTACTCAGTTAGATCCACAATTTTCTAAAGCGTCACGTTATCATGGATCGATAACTAAACGAAACTGAACCTATGCCCGGAAATCTATCTTCTTGTTTTGTTGGCTTATGCCACGTTAAAGTTATGTTTTTTATTACATGACATGTTAGTAACAAGTAGACTAACATTCATGCAAATTATTTAAACAATTCTCTGAATATATGACAGTACAAATTGCTATATATATATATAAGTTTAGTTATTAACTCAGTTAGTCAATTAAATCCATTCTAAATTTTTTGTGAAATTTGTGTTATGTTAACAATAACAGTTCAAATTGTTATTTCAGATTATTTGTTAAGATAGATGATCAGGAGTGATAGTAGATAATTACTTAGACAATTTTTGGAGTTAACAATGATAATACCAATTGTTATTGAGGGTTATTTATTAAGATAAATGCTGAGTAGAAACAGAATTAGAGGATGTTTGTCTTTTTTTTAATGGCCATGTTGTATAATTTACTTGTGGTCCCCACCATCGTATCATAGCATTGACCAATTCACGTTGATCTTGGCTGGATTGTTTACTAAGGAGTGGATGAAATGATGTAGTGCTTTCATGCAAATTAATTTCAATGTTGTTAATCCTTTGATAATCATTAGACGCGCTTAACAAATTATTATTTTCAGATTTAACATTTGATTCACATTCCATGTTGCAATCATCCATTTGCCAAGAATTTTCAGACAATAATTGTTTCTCCATATCATGCTCAGTATATGAAAGACTTCCAGACGATGAGCATATACTTATTTTGGATAATTGACGTTTAGGTAGTATCTATTGTTCGGATAGATGAAAAGGATTATAATTTGTTGATTTCATTACTTTATATTCTTTATTCATATGTTTCATACCTGTTCTCTTTTGATATCTTTTTCTACTGGTTGATTTACTTTATAGTTTTCATTATCAATAAATATGTGTCGAAGTAATACCTCTAGTGCCAAGCTCTCAGTATCTTTCATAATTTTTCTTTTTTTCAAATGCTCCAGATTCTTAGATGTATTTATGCCGATTGGCAAAGTACCGACTGCCATTTCTAGCAATACTTTAGTTTGGTGTTCCTTGTCTAAAAGGATATCTGCATTTTTATCCTGTTTCAGCAATGACTCACAACTATTTTGGAGTATGCTTTGCTTTGACTGTTTTTCTAATATCAAAGGATTTGAAGCAGTTTTTATTTCAACTGGAATTTCACTATAATTTTTGTCATGTGATGAGATTGTATTTTTGTTCATACTCCAAAATCTCTCTAATTTTTCCAGAATACTTTGTTCGTCTACATTTTGACTTATTTGAGAAGATGCTTGGACATACCGTATAGGAATAATACTTTCAGACTCGGTATTTAAAATTCTGTTATTAATAGGAGATTCATTTTCTGAAGCTATTGTACAGGTCTCTAATGTTACATCAGTTTCCATCATACTAGGTTTAATAGTCACATATATTTCATTTTTTAGTTTGTTATTCACAGGCAACTGGATAGAAGATTTTTCTTGAAAGATATTAGATGCTATAGCTTCCTGTGGTTCCAGGATATGTTTCAAGGAAAAACAAGACCTTTGAGCACAATTTATTTTATTTTGTTTTACACTACTGTCGCTCTTAGAATTGTTGTGATTCATCACAGTGCTTTCAAAATTACTTTTAGTCGTTCTAGGTGTTAATATTTCTTCGCTATTCATTGTTCTTTTAATAGAGACCATCGAGGCACTTGTCTTTTTTCCTTTTAGTAGTCTCATGAAGCTCTTAGTAAAACGATTTCCTTTGTGAACTTCACCCTTGCAGTTTACAGATACATCTGAGTCAGGTTTGTGTACACTCTTTTTGGATGGCTTATTGCGCAAAAAATTCTTAATGGCATTGGGAAGTTTTATTAGTAAAGTTGTACGAGATGCTGAACTTTGACCTTTGTTCATCATTACATGTACTTCCACAGGTACCTGCTTTGCACAATTTTGACATTTGTTCTGTACAAAATTTAAAGACAAACTGCTGGCTGATTCTATTTCACTCTCGTATCCCTGAGCAGTACTTTTTAGAGAACCGCTGTAGACATTTCTCTTAGAATTTAATGTATCATAAACGATATTTCTATCATTCTGTGAGAATTCAGATGTATTTTGTAATTTTAAATTGGGTAATAATTCTTTAACATAATTTAAACATTGATCGTATTTCGGAACTTGATCGTTTAATAAATCAGTATCTTTGTCTGGATGATTATCCTGTGTATATCTTTCAGCCAAGAGTTGATGGAGAAATTGTAAGCTGGCCTCAAGAAATACATCTGTGCTGGCAGTGGAACCATCATCATTAGGCTTGTGTGAATAATGAAACGTTCTATTTTCACCATGTACAGTATCTGAAAACCATTCATAGTAATATCACAAGGAATAGCTTTTTATCAATACTTTATTATGATAGAAAAATTGTAAGAGTACTTTGAACGTTTCTTCTACTCGCCATTGATGAGATCTTTCAGTAATACAAGAAAATCATTAGTCGTAGAAAATCTAAAATTTTCAGGCTAACCTGAAATCTAGACAGTTGATTTGATTATTATTCCATCCGTGTTTTATATTGAAATGAATGAAATTATTTACTAATATTAAAATCATCTTCTTTACGGTGTTCTGACGTTATTTGTAACGTCCATGGACGTATCTATGGCAACCTTGTATTTGTACACAAATGGCGATCCTCGAGATATTTTCCAGTAACGTCAAATATAAATATAAGACAAGCATTTGTTCTTCATCTGCGCTACTAGTATTATTTCTTAGTATATTGACGCTATTGTTACCACTGATAATTGTTTATCATACTGGAGGTAAGATTCCTCTTTGATATATCATAAATCTTTAGTTATTTTCCACTCGTATCAAAAATCGATAATATCATTATTTTCAGGTTTCTGGCTAAAAAATGCAGTGTATATGGAAAAACCAAATGTTATATTTAAACAAAAATATTTATTATTGGCGGAGAGACAGTTTGATGCACTTCCAATCACGTGTTCTACATTCACCGTGTATAAGGAAAATCCTATTAAAGACGATTGTCAATTAGTAAAGGTTCTTTATTGATAAAATACTTTTATTTAAATAAATATATTTATTTTACTTTCTGGCTTATAAAATTTTCGTAGGTGTATGAAGTTGATGAAAATAAGGATGGGCAAAAGGATATATTAAAGTTTGAAGCACATTTCTATACAGACCTTCCTCTAAGATTTATCAGGCTTTTGTTATTCTTTAACTATGAATTAACGGTCTGTAATATTATACATTGTTTAATAATTATTTGTACACAATTACAATACAATGATCAATTTTATTACAAGTTTTCTACTTGGTTTTCTTTTAGCAATATATTGCACTTACTATGGAAACAGTAGTAGTGTTTGATTACCCAATAACTCAAGACGTACAGGAAGTGCACTTTAATGGCCAATTGAAATTACAACAAAAGACGCTTCTGCGTGAGAATGGTTTACAAAACTTCTACAATCGTAGTATGGAATTAGAAGATCGGCCATTATCAGATTTCATATCTGAGAACGAAAATAGAAAGTGTAAGCATATATACAGCTCTGTTATATTTTTAAGAGCAAAGTACAAAGCTGTGTCAAAAACTTTAACTTATCGGGTATTCGTGTCGTGGAATTTTTTAGTTGCAGCCAAGATCACAAATACTCGAGTAACGTGGCAAGCGGGTTTTTCCAAAACAGAAAAATTTGTGATACGCGGTATAATCTTTTACTCGGAAGATTCGATTCAGTATCAACCAGGATTTTGGCAGGAGTTGAAGTGGGCTTGGATCCAATACATATCAATTTTATTAATATTTATTTTCTTGGAAAAACGTATTTTGGAATATATGTTTACCCATAGATATCTTAGAAGTTATACTATAGTCCCATGGGAAATCAAATAAATATATAATGTAATTTTAAACACATTCAAATAATACCATTCATAGCTATAATAAACGTTTGACCATAAAAGTAGGTCGTTAAGTATATTAAGAAAAGTAATTACCTTTGTAAATAAATATTCATTCTGAATAAATGACTTTTCCCAATAAAAAAAATAAATCTCAATTTTCAAAACTTACTTGATCTTGCGTATACCAAAACGCGAGTAATAAACTTGAGCAAATTAACAAAAAAATATTTTCAAAACTACTATTAAAACAGTCTTAAATCATTTCTTTCAATTTTAATGAGTACATAAAAAGACTGCAATAGTTAAATTATAGTATAAGAGTATCCGAATTTCTTGAACAAATATTATCGAACTCGATAACAATACAGTCACCAATCATTACCCTATAGGTACCACAGCTATTTTTTATTAGTATCCAATCACTCTCTGTATACACCCTGTTATTGCCTTCTATGTAATGGACTGAGGTTCCACTATGGTATCAACAATGAAAGTGGATCGATAGTATATGTAAAATTTCCCTGGAGCTCTATCCTCACCACCAACGTCATCGTCATCATTCTTTCTTACCACTATTTTCTTTCTATCATGGCGTTATCCCTCACTGCTGTTAGCCACTTCTCACTCATACGGTATAGTCAGTTCGTCCACTCTGTTCAATGAGTTCGGAGACTGCGCCTTGCCTTTCTGTTCCTACCTTACGTGATAGAGAACCTCTCCTGGGTTTGAGTCAACCTTGTTGTTTCGTTGATAACTTGATGATGTGTCAATAGTGAAAATTATGGGTGAGTAAGGCTAAAAGATTATTGTCGTACCTTTGACGGAATATATAAGAAATGTATTTTGAATATTTTAAAGAGAGAGAGAGAGAGAGACAGAAAAAATGACGGTGGTTGAAAAAAATCTTGGGAATAAAGATTCTTATTTGGTTCGTCGTTCTCTTGTGCTGTTCACGGAAATCAATGGACATATCTCTTGAAATTGGTTTTTCTGCAGTATTTCATTCGATTATACGTTTCTCAACTTTTATCACGTTTTCTTTTTTTCAGTTATCCATTTTACGTGAGAAACCTTACACCTTTGATATTAGAATTCTGCTATGTAAATTTATGCTTTTACTTGGTTTATATAGGTATCCTTTTCAGTTTTTCTGATATATCCTTTTTTTAATATAATAAATTTTATATAATCATGTGTTTGGTAATATATTTTATGGTTGATAATAATATAGTTTTATCATAGGAATCTTTCATTTGTACAGTTACCGTGTTACGCGTTTCGAGTTATACGTGCTTGGAAGATTTGTTTGTTGTGGTAGAAAACGCAACAGGAGATACTTAACAGGAATGTTATTAATTGTTTGAAAAACTCATTACTATTAATTAGCATTAAAATTGAATATATATCTATATATTTGTATGGAATTTTACATCAATAGAAACTCATAAATTTGAAATTAACAGGAGAGAGTGAAGGACTGCCAGAGAAAAAAATGACAACGAGATCGAAGGAGAAGGTGGTGGCTGCCTTTAGAAAGCTATTCCGCTCCTCGGAGAAGATAACTGATCAGGATGGAGCAGGAACGTCCACTAGTTCACCTTCTAGACGACTATTAAGCCGTCATCATAGACCGGATGCTGTGACACCATCAGAAAGTACTCTGCAAGAGAATCCAGGGACTAGTCATACTGGCAACTGTTTCTTTAAGACGAAAAAGTCTACCGAAAATTGCTCACAGTCGATGGGAATGCCTGAACGTGGTGTTCGACTCCGCAGATTGATGAAGGAACTGGCAGAAATTCAACGGATTCAACACAAACATGATTCAACTTTCAGCGCTGAACTTGTTAACGACAATCTCTTTGAATGGCACGTTAGGCTACACAAAATCGACCCGGAGAGCGAACTCGCGGCTGATATGAGAGAATTGGAAATACCTCATATCCTTCTTCATGTCATTTTCCCAGAGAACTTTCCATTTGCACCGCCATTTATGAGAGTAATATCACCCAGGATCGAGAAGGGTTTCGTTATGGAGGGTGGTGCAATTTGTATGGAACTACTGACTCCTAGAGGATGGGCCAGTGCCTATACTATTGAGGCTGTGATCACTCAGTTTGCTGCTAGTATCGTCAAGGGTCAAGTGAGTTGGTTATATTTATTAGATTTTAGTATTTATTATGGTACGAAAATTTGTATGTTATTTATTGCGCAGGGACGTGTGGCAAGAAAACCAAAAATGAACAAGGAGTTTAATCGTCGCTCTGCTGAGGAATCCTTTAGGAGCTTGGTGAAGACGCACGAGAAGTATGGCTGGGTAACGCCGCCATTAGCCGAAGGCTGATTTGGGTATCTATAGTACATTTTATTTAGTCCTTTGTTTTCCTCTCATTGTTGCTGGTGTTTTTGTAACGTGTGTCTTTTCGTGTCGAAACGAATTGCGTTTCGTTCGAAGCCTTTTTACCGTGATACGTTGTTACTTAATCGGAAAATTAGGTATGATATGTTATAGTGTATACAGACATATTGATTACTTGATGGGAGGCTACACGTGAAGCGGATACGCACAGAAATTCGCATTACAAATATTTACGCATTTTTTTAGGTTATATACTATAATTTCTGATATTACATCGTTCTTTCGGATATCATATTGGGCTTTTTGGCTTCACGTGCTGCTTCTTGCTGATGTATATCGTAGAAACATACCTGTCGAGTATTTAAGATTTGTAATGTGGAAATGATGTGGAAACTAAGTGGTAATAACTCTCATAAATGGTGGAAAATAAGCAAGAAAAATCGATTGCGCTCAGACTTTTACGAGTTGAAAAAAATACAAGAAACAACGTACAAAGTGAAATTTAGAATTCGTAAGATGTGATGTTTGGCCCTCGAATAGTGGCTCCTATTATGAGAATCACGACATTCGAAATTAACATCTTATATAATTGGATGGTTTTTATTGTTCACTAGTATTTTGGTTGCCGAGCATTCTTTCAGATCACTGAGGTGCGTTCAGAAGCCTTACTCCTAGTAATTTTAACATGTTGCATTTTTTTTAATAGCGTTATTATACGAAAGATAGAACAATACCAGAGTACACGCTACTAAAGTTTCTGAACGTACCCCTGACGTTGCACTAGGATTAGATTTTGCATTTCAAAAATGAGAAAAAATCGTTCTTGAGGGCTAAGGTCAATTAGCACAGTAAGGAAAATGATAAAAAGGAACGAAAAAATACACAATCGAAATTCATCAGTGGGATTTGTCTTTCAATCAAGTTTTACTAGTCGTAACGTATAAGTATTATTCTGTATGTGCCAAATAAATATTACTATCCCATTAGCGATTGTCTTGTTTATATCGGGTTTCATTGATCGTTAATCAATTAAAGGATAAAATAAATTTTTAATGGTCACCTTTTAATTGTATGTATAATAAATGTGTATACAATTTTTACAATGTTTATAGAACACTCTGTTTGTTACACGTACGAAATGGTCTGTGCGAAATTTATTGGACACTTAACTGATCAGTCACACTCAAATATATTAATTGACGCACTTTGATTAAATGCACGTGACATTAATTTAGAATTGCAAAAATTTCGCAATAGAATCATCTGACTTTTTCTAATTAAATTTATTTATAGACAATTTTTTTATCATCATAAGGCACATTCGAAGAATCTGATACACAATTTTTTCGAACCAACTGGCAGTATAATCTTTTCGAATTTCAAACAATCTTTATATAATAAATATTCTCCAAAATACAATCTACATTTGCGCGAGACCGATTTGGCATTTCGTATAAATATTTTATATAGGCATGGCAGTTCTACGTTGCGCCAATACGTTATTAAATACTACGTACAATCACAATAGAAAAAAATGGAAAGATAACAATCCTCAATTGCATAATATGATTGATCGATGTTCAATAAATATTTAGTCGACAAATTGTATCTAAGAACAATATAGTATAATAGTGATATAAAATATCTGACATATAAACAATTATATTCACGTTGTGTCGACTGAATATAAATTAAATTATTGAATTTTCTAAAAGTTATTAGGTTTAAGTATGCGTACGGATTTTTTTCTTTCTTTGTGCTATGGAATTGATCTATATGCTCTAAATGATTTGTACAAAATTTACCGTTAATTTTTTTCTATGACAAGGCTTATATCGTTTCTTTTTCGAAATTTCTCGTGTCAATACTATTTTTGACATTGGAATTTTTCTCCTTGTCCTCTTTAACATCAAAAGTTTTGAATCTCTCAAGTTCATTCAGCATTATGACACACTCCTAAGATCTAACTGTAATTCCCTGTAGTTTCTTGACCGATGTAACTTTCTCCTTTTAAACATTGTCACTCAGTCATTCTTTTCTTCTTGCACACACATAAATAACTTAGCGCAGATCATATTGAGTTCATCTGTGAGAATGAAATATCGAAAATGAGAGAGATATTTATGTAAGATGATATTAGAATTGAAAAATATCTGATATTTGTTAAATACTTACGAGACTTTAAAACAAGCCACTGCGGTTTCTTTTTCCATTGTATGAAAATCCAATAAATGGGAATGCCGGAAAATATGAAAATTAAGCCAACACCTACTTCCCACGGCGTCACGTAACAAGGAAGCGTAACCAGAAAGGCACAAATGATAAAGAATATTATAGGCAAAATAATGGACACCTAAGAAAGAAATAAAAAAAAATAAACAATAACAATTATAAAAATTCCACAGTAATATTTTCACTTATTTCAGAATTCCTTAGTCAATTACAAAAAGAAGTACAAAAACAATAAATCAATTTCGTACGATACCTTAATGGGACGATGAAGATCGGGCCTCTTGTATCGAAGCCAAAGAAGACCAGACACTGATAAAGTTGTGAATAGTGCTTCGACGAAGCTCACATAATTGATTAGCACATAGACATCTTCTATGATAAGAAGAACCAAAGTGATTAGACACTAGAAAAGAAGAACAAAAGTGTTACCATATGAAATATAAATAAATCATTAAAATTGTTTTTCAAGAGGTAAATTGTTTTTCATGGAGTGTTTTTCTTTTCTGTATATTATTTTTCTTAAGCTGCATCCCTTATACGAGTTATCAACTCTCATGATAAATGTGATCACGCGCTCTCGAGCAAATTTAACAACGAAAAGAAGCACGCTACGACTTCCGTCAGTGAGAATCAAAGCGAACCGCCCGACTCCATGGAAGGTCTAACTTATTACACTCGATTATCGTATTGCCAAGCAAGACTGGACGTACATTAAGTTTCATGAAGAGTTTACAATGCCACTTGTAAGCATTTCTGCACGGACATTCGTGTGTAGGGATATTATCAGAATGGCTCGTGACATATGTTATAACATTGAATCGCATCGGTATTTAATTACAGAGTATTTAAACACTGTAACTAGACACGCTTATTCTATGAGCCACTTACTAGAAAAATTAAAGATGGCATTGGAGTCAAATTTCGCACATTAATCAAGGCTATTGCCGTAGGTAAATGACCGTTTCGTGCTCCAACGAAGAATAATCTTGACGAAGCAAAAATAGCGCCATTTAATGCGCCAAAAGTTGAGCAGGCTACAAAGAATGGCATAATCCAAGACATCACTCCCAATAATTTATCACCAAAGGTCTGAAATACGTTTATTACTGTTGTCGTTAATGCACTTGGAATAATTTATTAAATATAGTTCAGTTTAATTAATATGCAAATACTTACTACAGCTACAGCATTTGATGCCAGAATTTCATCCTGTGTTAGCACAACGAAATAAGCCACGTTGGCAAGAACATAAATGACAGTAACGAGTGGTAACGATATACAAATTGCTTTTGGAAGGTTCCTAGAAAGGTAGTCGTAGATTAAATAATGAAGTAATTACTGGAAAATATAGATTATTATTAAATCTAATATATGTATATATGTATGTATACTTGTAAGGATCCTGCAATTCCTCGGTTACGAAATTCAAATAGTTCCATCCTGAGTATGAAAACAATCCTGAATAGATTGCCAGAGCAATGTAACCAGGTTGTGTATTGGTACCAGCCATGGGCTGATGAAAATTCTCAGTATGTCCCATGCACAGCCACCATACGCCAGCGACCATAATAATAATCAAAGCAAATATCTTAGTACCAGTGAAGACATCCTGTACTCTGGTCGCCCACTTAACGTTGTAGCAATTGATGGCGGTCAGTAAACCTGTATGCATTGTAAACATTTCTAAAGAATATATTTTGCATATAAATCTTTTCTTATTTAACCAAGTCGAACAAAAATGTCAGATTAGATAAATTCTTTCATCAACTAGTTGATATTGAATTGCATTCGTTCAAATATAATGTCTCACATGTGATAACGGCAGCCAATAAACGAACCGCCTCGTACGGTGGCTCACAACCAGGCCAGGCTGGTTGAAGAATATATTGTGCAAAGGTAAGTGCTGTTATAGCATTTCCTGTGGGTACCAGAATAAATAGTGCTACCCAAAGATATAAAAATGCTGGTAATGGTCCAAAAGCATCACTTATGTAGGCATAATCGCCACCCGATTTTGGGATCATCGTACCTGCAATTATACAAATTTATTGAGAACCTATTAACGCTTATTATCAGTATAAAGATATTTCTAAAAACGGGAGGAACACAAAATAAGTGACAATTATGTTACACGTTTTTTATCCTTCAATCATTGCAATGACTTTGATTTTTTCAAATAATCAAAAAATTATTTCATCATCATGTCTTATATGAAGTTCAAAACAAAATTCAACGTCTATTTAGCGAATTACCAATAGTTCAGACCACATGAAAATTAATCCCTTTATTATTGATTGATTTTTTTAACCAAGGTCTTCTATCTTTAATGACTCGCATTCGTATCTTTCAACGCAAGTTTACATTATTCAGCCAAACCTGCGAATGCGCCAATTTTTAATTCAATACAGTGAAAAGCGTCAAACCAAAACTGTACTTTGTTTTGCTACGTTATCGTTCGATATTATACATATATTAGTATAGCGAAGCGCTGTGACGTCCCTAAATAGCTTGTTAGATACTTCCACATGTGCAACAAGATTTCATATGGTGTACATATATGAAATATGTGAACTTGTATGGTGCACTATAGTTGGCGCTCACTTTGCAATCACCATGCTACTCCTATACCTATAAAATCCGTCACTTCGTCGCTTAATCTATTTTGACGCAATGATAAAAATCTTTATATTAATTACCGACCATGGCCATTCTCCTTGTTACTGCAAGGTTCATTTCTTTGTAGCTAAACTGATTCAGCTATCGTTTTATAATATAACATATACCGTAACATGTACCAAAATGTCAGAAATATATTTCGTAACGAACAACAGACGTAATCAACATGAAAATATAGAGTTCTTTCACTGTACCTAAAATTATATTGTAATTATGTTGATTTTACATTTTTATGTTATACCGGAATATATGTTAATATAACAAAAATTAATATATACTGCCTTTAGTTAATTTTTTGTATGAGTTAACATATGTTAAATTTGAATTCAAACTTGTGCTATTGCATTATTATAATTTCAGAGTATAAAAAGTTATTGTGGACTATTTACGAGTTGAAGGTTTTTTTACTTAAATCAAATAATTATATTCAATAATTTTATGTTTTGCAGACAATACGATTCACTACATGGTATCGCTTGTCATTCGAGAGTTTTAATCTTCCGCCGCGGAGTCTGACGCAATAATCAGCTCTTATTCCAAATTGTCTCAAAAGTTTGATAATACTTTAGATGTGTTTATAATTAATGAAATAATATTTACCAAGTTCTGCGTAGCATAATGCTCCGATAAGTGATAGCACTCCAGAGAATATCCATACAATCAATGCTTGTCCAACGCTTCCACTATTCTTGAGAACACCTTTTGGAGATACGAATATACCAGCACCGACAATTATTCCCACGATGATAGCAACACCATCCATAAGGCCGAGTTCCTTTTTCAATTGAACACCATTATCGTCCGCATTAGGGCTGCCGGGGCTGTTAGTTTTATTCCGTAGAACCGTTTTTTCAGTGGGTGACACTTTGTCTGGCATTCTGATAACGGTTCGCGCACAATTAGGCGCTCCTTTCTTTTACTCAAATAGAACGTCTAGTAAGACTGGTATGAAAAAATCAGTGCGCCCACGGTATCCGTAAAAAATTTTACAGTAGTAAAACAACTTTGATTATAAGAAACATTTTTAAAAATGAATGTAAAACGACGAGAAAATTGCAGTCGACCCGCGCGTTTCTCACTCAGGGAAAAACAGGACCGGCGAACAACACCTCTCTGAAGCGTCTAAACTCGTCAACACGTGGTCGTCCACGGTTCTGCACTACCGACAAGTAAACCATATGGCGTTTATATCCTTAGCCATGTCACAATCTTCTATTCTTTTTACCTTGTATATGCAAGCAGTTAAGCTGCGCTTACGACCAGACGATGTCTGGCTTATTCCCCACTACTCGACGATATTTATTCATCCGAAGGGGAATCCGTGACTAGTAACGATACGCGACAATTGTTTGTAGACTTCATTATACCCGCGTATATGTATATGTATAAAAACACCTGCATTTAATATATGCGATTCTTTCAGTGTAAAGACAGAAAGCAGGAAAAGAATTTATTTTGTAAATGTACGGCTGATTTCTCTGGCTATTCAAATATGTTTAAAAACTCTTTTTTTTCATTTCGCAAACAAACCGGTAAATTTTATGTCGACTAATCCCTAATGGCTACTACGGTATATTGTCTGCTTGTTTCTTTTTAATATTTGTCTTTCTTTTTTTACTAGTAGTTCAGCGTGGGAATCGCGGACATCCCGTATGTAGCACTATGTCCACGCAACGTGGTTTGGAACGTTTTGCAATACTGCGCGCTAGCACGCGTCGAGCATAGTATCGAAGCCCTCAGGAGATCCCTCGTCGTGTTGGCACTGGCGTAAGCGGATCTTCAATTTAGCATTGGTGTAATATTATTTGTAGGGTGTCGTAAAATTTGTAAAGCGACGCCAATGCTTGCCTACGTCCGTTAGAGGCTTCCGCTCTCTCTCTCTCTCTCTCTCTCTCTTTGCCCCCCTGACGCCAGCTCTCCTTATCCTTCACGAATGGTCACTCAATACATTTCCGAAATTCTTTTCAATGACGGTCTCTCTTCTTAGTTCAAGTGAATGATTGTTAAGGGAATTCTATAGGATTTGCTTAAGACTCGGTCAGATCTTACACTGGAAACTATTTGAAAAGTTGATTCCTGGGATACCGTCACTTGTCGCTAAAATTGCGATAACTACGCTTTACGATTTGTCTCCTGGTTTTTGCGAATTATAGCAACAGGAATCTTTCTGGTAATGACGTTCCTCTTTTCTTGATGTTCGTATAAAATTCATAAGCATCATTTTGTAATGTATATAGTGTTGATATGTGTGGTAGGCACGTTTGTTAAGATCTACATATTGTACATACAGTTGTGATGTCAATGGTTAAATTTCGTAACGATTACGCATGAAACTATAACATATGGCTTACTTGATAATATTTCGAAAGGTTTTATTAGCAGTTGCCGCTTAGCGAGACTGTCTAATACAATATATTGGTACGCATTTCTTTTTATTACATTATTGGATACTAATTGTTAGAGCATCAACCCAACGGTACAAACAATAGTTACTACATATTATAATGTATGGTTCGGTAAGCAGAAACTGACAAAAAATATATTCTATTATATTAGCATTATATAAATGTATAATTATATAATAATTATATTTTGTTTATTGGTAGTTACTTTATTAGGAATGATGTAGAGAAATGGTTTATTTTTACAATGCATAAATATCTGTGATACCTTCTGATGGTATATTACATACCATTACAGGATAAGTAATCTTACTAATATGTAAGCTCCATATAGTTAGCCCCTCATCACGACCGATCGAACTAAATTTTTTTGCTATCGTTTGTTGGTCGTTTGTCGGTAAATGATAGACTATTCTAAACGTTTGACGGTTATTTGTTTATATAAATTTATAAAAACAAATTTGACTAGGGAATTTTTTTTCAAATAGCCCCTCCATCGTCATATTTTCAATTGACTTTTATATAAATTGATGTAAAATCGTTTGTCGGTGATTGATGGTCTATTACTTACAAGAAAAAGTTCATATTTTCCTTGTAATTGAAAATAAAACAAATTTAGCTAGGAAATCTTTTTCAACTAGTTCGTCGATGGTCGGGTGATTCCCCATGAAGCGTACTTCGTGTACCGCGTATGTAACGCAGCTAATCGCAAACTCGCAATTCCGTTCTATTATTTATAGGAAAACTAACAACGATTCGTGATTTGCTGGCGTCAAAAAGTCACTTGAAAATATGACGATGAAAGGGCTATTTGAAAAAAATTCCCTAGCCAAATTTGTTTTTATAAATTTATATAAACAAATAACCGTCAAACGTTTAGAATAGTCCATCATTTACCGACAAACAAATTGTTGTTCGTTAAAAACGTTTGTTAACAATAGCGAAAAAAATTAGTTCGATCGGTTTTGATGAGGGGCTAACTATACATATGGAGCTTAAGGGCTCATTCAGACCGAAAGCAGCGAGAAGCGAGAAGCGAGCAGCAAGCACCTTGAAACTTTAGAATAGAGTGGTACCTCTTTCCAACGTGCATACGCATAGGCATATTGTGATTGGTCGTGATGTTAAATTGTAACAAAGGAGACTACATGCGTGTAACATACAACGAGGCTATACCACGGGCTATACACATTTCGTCTGATGCCGAATTCAAAATTTATTTCAAACATGAACTATGACGTGAAGTAGGGTTGCCATCATCTTTTTGTTATGTCGCTGCTACGAAAAGTTTAACGTTGATCAACTTTCCAAAATCGCAGTCCAAGCATTGGAATCTGCTTAGTAATGAAGTCATGTTTTAAAAAAAATGATGTATTATTATTTTCAATGTAGTATACTTGACTCTATATACGTAATTAAGGCAAATAACTTATTTCTTAATGCTTTCATACGGTTACCTAATATAAAAAGGCAGAAAATGTAGTTTCGCGGCCAAGATTCCGCTGCTCGCTTCCCGCTGCTTTCGGTCTGAATGAGCCCTAATATGTATGTACCGGCTGTACGTCAGGAAACTGATTATGGTAATGTTCTAGTGGATTTTCACTAGCTGAGAAGTGTCAAACAATAACCTAACAAATACATATAGTAAATGTACACAAAGTGAAATTTTTCCGTGATGGATAACAGCGAGATAGAAGATTTTTATCATCACGATTTTACAACTGCATCGGAATGGGAAGTATTTATTGCACGTTTAGAAGAGATTATACATGAATGGAAAATACCTAATAATAAGATTGGACCTTACTTGAAGTCTGGTGATTTTATCAAACATACATGGATTGAGGCTTTTGAGAAATTAAATTTTGCAGGTTCGCATATGTAACGATTTATATTTCAAATATTTTAATACTTATGAATCATATTAGTATTAAATGTACTTTATTACAGATGTTGAGTTCCTCTTGAAGCATTACAAACTTAATATAAATGATGAAGAATCCTCAGCTGGTCCTACAGAAGAATGCGAAGATGCAAGAAGTCAATGCCAACAAGATGCCCTTGACCCTTTGAATGATTTTGCTGTATTGGCTGGCGAACATATGGAGATAGCTCGTTATTATGGAATTCGAGAGTTTTTGGTATTGGTGCCTGCTAAGCAGAGTTCTATTACAGATGAGACACGTATTAAAATTTTACTGAGCTCTCTTAACATAGCTGCTATTAATTCAAACTGGTAAATATTGTTATTGGCTACTATCATATTTATATTATTGGCAAATTATTGTGTAATGTTATAGCGAGGTTCCACTGCTGGTCCAAGTACAAGAACCATGGCAGAGATTTTACTTGGGTGTTAGCATAGGAAAAGGATCTACTGCTAATTTTGAAATGGTGCACGTAAAGAAAATACCACCACATTGCAAGCACTTGACAGGTAAGCAGATGTTAACTATTATCTGAATCATAATTAATTATTAGTATAAAAACTCACAATAATATTCTTGTCAGGGCTGCTTTCACTATTCAAACAAAGAATTGGAGCTGGTTCTGGCTTCAGACCAGATCCTGTTATGGTGTCAATACGTTTTACCTACTTGCTCAAAGATTGGACTAACAGTTCCTGGACTCAGGAGCCACCAGATTTTGATTTTATGCAGGGGGAAACACTAGGTGTTGCTGAACTTGGAAAGCTTCCTTTTGGAGCCACATTTGATCCTGTGGGGTAAGTTTCCATACGTTAAATAATTTTTTCATAAGTAAGACATCTGTTGCTCTTGATTCTTCTTAACTAATTTTAGTGAAATTATCTTTGAAAATTTCTTCCTGCTGATTCCAACCCAGATGTCTATCATATAAAAAAAAGTACTTTTTTTTCATAGCGAATTGCATTTATTTACTACATGGCCACAGATGTCTGAAAATGTCGTAGTGGACAGCGAAGGTTTTACCGATTTGGAACCTCAACTCGCACCAGAATGGACGGTGCAGGTTAAAATGGTGTCATCATCAGCTTGTCTTCTTGGCGATTATCTTACTGACTTTCTATATCTCTGTAAAAATCAGAAGACATTGGTAGACCTTCTTGGTGATGCTGCCAGTTACGTGAGCAGTGAGGATCAAGTGTTGAGTTCAGCTTTTAATGCCCTGACAGAATCAAGGATTCCCACGATTTCCACTGTTGTCGGAAAAGCAGTCACGAAGAAATCGAAAAACATTGACGGTCCAATTGCCGAGGAAGTGCTTTTGCCTATCCTATATTTCTTATTCCCTGACGCAGAAGATAATCCGGTATGTAAAAGGATATTTTATATTTTCTTTTAAATCCATACCGATATAAATAACCATAGATAAAGCAGACAGCGAAGATGAGACAAACATAGGTTCCGATAAACAAATTCTAATGAAAAGAAGGTATATAAAAACAGGGGCAAACATGACCATTGTAACGATGAACACACGAAAAATATGTTACGTACGTGAAAGGTCTCTAAGAAGAAAGTAGAATTTATCAATCTCTATAAATGATTAGGAAAAAAAATACATAGCTGTACAAGTACTAAATTCGTGAATGACTCACGATCAGACCTACCTAACCGGCTTTCGTGTTTGTGTGGGTTTTTGCATAATGCTGGTTCAATTACATGGAATTGGATAGAATCTAAATTGTCTTGCCTAATTCTTTACTCAATACCGAAACTAATCGTCATTGTAAGAAATATTTTTTACATTGAACTTCTTTTACTTGCAGAAAGCACCATACTCCGATGTAAACAGTTACGGAGTGGAGGATGATCAATGGAGGGGCATAAAAACATGTGCAGTAAACAGTTTAGTCTGGCGATTATCTATAGTTGCAGCGCATTGTGCACATAACTTGGGCGGTGCATCTGCACTTGCACATTTATGGCACGAATTTGTGCAGGAGATACGATTTAGGTGGGAGAAAAGCATCCCCATTCCGGGGTGAGTGTAATTTGTCCTTTTTATCTTATATCAGCTTGCAACAGTTCCTCATACTGCTTAAGGAGTCGCTCAGAATCTGTGTTAATCCGTATTTCTAAAACATACTTTAGCTCAGGATAATACTCAGGAGTATTTGATCATCAATATGGATGATTATAAGTACAAGGAATGATGATCTGAAGTACCTGGGCACTTGAAACGATAATTTTAGATTGATGATTACAAGCACAGGGATCCGCAGCGAATACATTTCAGCACTTGATATTTCGATAACAGCCAGTTTGAAGAAGTTAATTAAAGTAAACAATTGCAGAATTTAATCGATCGAATCAACAAGGATCGAAGTGATTTCAGGCGGAATTCAGGGAAGACTATTACAGCATTTGTTTTATTATTTAGTTATTACCATTTGTGAATAATGCGACTGTGGTACCAGTGGCCTCGTTGAATTTTGCGAGTTATTGCAATTGGAAATTCATTATTTCTAGCGTCACACTGTTGTCATTAAAAAAATGATAACGTCGAGTATACAGTCTTTGGGTAGTAGAATACTTGCACCGTTTGTCGGATCATCGTATATGTGAACGCGACCTTACGGTTTCAGTTTCGTTATTGAATAATGTATCATTACAAACGGAAATGAGGCCAATTTTTTAATGCAGCGGGAGCACCTCATGAATGTTGATTCGTTAATTACAAGGTGACTTATTCATAATTAATTAAGAAGTAGATGATTGCTCAATTAAATTATTTGCGTAGCACTTCTATACGTTCTCTAAACGATAATACCGGTATCAATATCCTAGTACTTCGTGCTTGTCCATCTCTCAATCTTATTCTAATGATTCCTTAAGTATTCCCTATTATATGAATCTCTAACGTAACCTAAAATTATTATAATACATGTATTCTAACCACCGTTGTAATCGGTTAGATTTTTCTCCTCGGAAACACTTTTTGAGCAAAATTCGATCTTCAGAGTGGTACGAGACCGCTCCTCGTCGTTGGATTCCTGGCCATATAAATATCCATGTCGTGGTCTGTCCAATTATTCTCCTCATAATTATTCAACGTGTGCGTCGAGTCCGCCAGGCTGTATCGACTTCCGGGTCTCGGTGGATGTTGCTCCATGGTACGGTTTCGCGAGCGTGGCCGCTGCCTCCTAGAGGAAGCGTGCGGTGGTAAATGACTCGCCGGGAAGCTTGCCCTAGACATTCTATCCGATGCCGCAGCCAGGGATTGTCGAGATTGTCGCAATTCTTAAAATCAAAATTAAACATCTAATAAGTCAAACTTCTTCTAAAGTCGCCGTCTGGAATCAGTTCCGGTATCAGAGGTTCCTTTCACATTATAAGTTATAAAAGGATGGCCTCTCCAAGTGAAATTGATATTAGACGACGGTCATAAGTATACGGCAATGTTTTTTCCTTTTGTTTTTAATATATTATTTTTTTACCTGGTCTGGAATTGACAAGATTCGTGGCCAAAGCGTTATTAGCAAAATATCGATTAGAATTATTCGAAAAGCTATGTTGAGACTGGCCATCAGCTATAGATCTTGGTGCTACTTTTCCGCCATAATGTCCCGCTTGAGATCTGACGTCGTCAATGCAGGAAGCCCTCGTTATAGAGCCTATTTGAATGGAAAAACAGAATGGCATTATAGATAAGACAGCATTTCAAAAAACAAGAATCAAGAAAACATACCTTGTCTCTCTATGGGGAATACTCGTGGCCTTGGAATACTCCTGTTGCTATACGCTGACACTTGGTCCCATTCTTTTTGATTGTTGAAAGCACTCAGTGTTGCCATTGATGATAACGGTCCACCAGGACTCGGGGTAGGTCCTACGGTAGAACAACAATTGACAGGAAGACCAGCTATGGGTCCACCCATTTTTGTCTGATCTATAGTGTGCAGTGTATGCAATTTTCGAGCCCTCCGACGGTTGGCTACAACGAAAATTATTACTGCCACTACTATCGTAGCGCAAATCGCTGCGCTTGCTGCTATCGTTATCTTGTCCATGTTTGACGTTGGCGAATTTTCTGTCCTTACTTCTCGGCATTGATTGTACGGCACATTAGCTGGTGTCACGTTGGTTTCCTCCAAGGAGACTACACACACTACTATACATTCCTTCAATGACAGATAAAATGAATTGATTAGGATAATAATTAATAATAATAAAGAAATAATTAATAAATTTATCCAAGTCAAATCGTTACCTGCGAAGGAACGTTCTTAATTTTAAATTCTCTTTCACTTGCTTCCAACGGCGGTGCTTGCTTGAAACTATTATCTCCAAAGAGACGATATATTACTCGAAATCCAATAATATTCGCTGCTTCTGTGTCCCAGTAGATGATCACTGCATTGTCTTGCCTGAGGACGTCCTTTACAATGATGTCCTTGTCGTTTGATTTTGCTTTGTAAAGAGGTGATCCAAGTACCAATGGTGGCCTTGGCTGATGCTGCTGTATACTTCCTAAATCTTGGTTATGTTTGATTGACGCAGGCGTGGTACGTGTTTTTACAACGTTTCCGGTTCGTGCAACGGTTGGTCTACTTATGATGGCTGGCGCCAGTGTTGTCGAAGATGATACTTCAACCCTTCTTATTTCCGTAGTAGTTGATGGTACAATTGTAGTAATTCTAGCAGTCGTACCGGAAATCCTTGGTATACTCGGTGTTGTAATTGGTGGTGATCTTGTGGTTGGTAATAATGAATCTACTACACCATCCACCGGACCAGTTGGCTCTTTAGTATCCACACTCTCGACGGTACCTATTCCAACAATTTCAGAAGGTCTCTCGCAGGTCATTTCTGTAGAACATAGATAGATAATTTATTACATACAATTAAGATATACTGAAAATTACATAGAATTAAGACTTACTATTAATCTCGTTAAATACCTGTGGGTTCAATGTTGTAGAAATTTCGGTCTTGAAGTCTCTGCGGTCCTCCACAAAATTGTGGCTTGCGCTCACGGCTCGTTACGCGTAAATCCTTGGTACGAATCCATTCCACGATCCATCTTAACTTACAATCACAAACTAGAAAGCGGCCACCTAAACTCAAGCCGCGTAAAGTGCCATTAAGATTGGCTAAAGATTCCTCAGGTACTGTAGTCAATGGGTTTCCGTCAATGGCTAGTAGTGTAATCGACGGATTATTTTGAAAGGCATTTACTGGCAGTTCGGTTATCAAATTAAAACCAATATCCAGCACCTAAGAAGGCAAGCGAAGAGGTATTAAAAACAAAATAATATATTTTTATAACACCGCGCAAAAGAAGTTACACAATAATCACCTTCAAGTCGTGAACGCTGTTTATAGCACCAGTTGGAAAGTCAGGAATAAGATTGTTAAGTAAGCTCAAGGAACTCAAAGTATTTCTGACACCATAGAAAGCATCAGGTCCAATATTCTGAATGAGATTTCTCTCCAAATTCAAACCGGTGAGTGAGTCGAGTCCCTCGAATGCCTTAGGTCCCGCAGAGCCCGGAAGTTCTCGTAAGCTGTTCTGCGAGAGGTCCAGAAAAGCGAGAGCCTTCAGACCCCTCAGTGCTTCCGGTATCTTTTTCTGTCTAGTCCCCTTGAGATTAAGATTCTTAAGTGTTCTCTCCAAACCCCAAAAGGCGCCAGTGGATAGCGTCACTTCGTTATCAGACAACTTCAGAGTGGCTAATCTCATGCCACCAAAGGCGTTATCGACGACCCGCGTGATCTTATTCATGGATAAATCCAAAAGCGTTAGATTTTTCAACGTCTTTAATATCGGCGTTGATATTTCCGTGAGCTCGTTGTCCTTCAAGTTGAGACTCTTCAAATTATTTTCCTGACCTAGGAAGGCACTCTCCTCTATCGTTCTTATGCGACAGCTTGACAATTGCATATTGTTGATCCTCAACGTGGACAACGAACCGTTTCTCAACACGCCGATTGTACTGCTGTTGATGAATAACAAGTCTATCGTGATCTTGGAGGCGTATCGGCGCATGGCCGATACCAATTGCCCGTAATCGACGGTATCGCATTGTATCGAGAGTTCATTGGCCAAATTCGTATCGCAAATACAGGAACTCTCCAATTTGACGACACTTTCGGACCAGGGACACGGAACTGTAGCTGCGACCGTGCACAGAGTCACAGCTAGCAGCTGCAGTAGTGTTGTACCTGAAAGAAAATAAGGATACATTAATAATTAATTCGTTTTTTATCACAGTACTATCAGCGTTATGGCAGCGATACTGAGATATAATCGGCAACATACGCCCGTTCAAATGTTTACGAGAAACGTAAATCATTCTTTGTCAAAACGAGTCTCGATTTTTTTTTCCCGAAATTTTCATACCCATTACAATTTTACGTCTCGTGCCTAAGACGCTAAACGAAGTAATAGTCAGATTTTTTTTGTACTTTATTATTCCGAGACAAGAACCTCTCATGGCAGCCTTGAGGGAATCGTACTTAACGCGATTCCATAAGGCCCAGACCCGTTACGAGTCAATGGCCGGCATCTACAAGTCCATTGCGTCGATCTGCCTATGAAACCAAGTACTGTTGGCAACCGAGCGCAAAGTGTACCGTGAAGATGAAATCGATGATAATCGCACGTTTATAATTAATTAGTATCGATTAACAGAAAATCGATATCGAATTTTATTGTCGATATTTGCGGATTTTATTAATTTCAAGGTTCAAATACAATTTTTCCACGCATTTTAACTTTATAGAATTTATTTTTGAGTATTTACAATTAAATCTAACATGGCGTACATTATTACGATATTACTGTTCTACACGATTCTGTAAGATTACTAAAAGATATTCCTTGCGTGATTTTATCGTTAAGAAAATAGAATGGAATCTAATTAATTAGGCTACATTCCGTTAAGTTGCCTACACTGGGTTCCACTATGACGCGGAACACTTGCTATGGAGGACGCACGCCTAGTTTTACACTGGCACGCGTCTTCTCTTCCATTCTCTTATTCTCCTTACACGATCCATTACTTGGAATTACTTGGCGCTCGATATCTAATTCTACAATATAGGGGCTAATGTCGCGATATAAACTGATTACGTACGTTAGCACACGTGAAGAAACGCACGCGTATAATTACCTGTATGTATCAAAGACGTGCGTGAAAATCGTGACCAGCACGTGACTATAGTTACGGCACTTGATTCCCGTTAATTGTTACCACGGATAATAGATTCCCGATCCTCGATTCTACGAGCCTCCGTTATTCTTTATAGGTATATCGACTTGGGTCTATCAGACTGCTACCAAGATATACAGGATTATTCACGGCAAACGCATCACCTGAAGTCAGTCGTCCACTTTTATTTATACGCTAGAACCACCTTCAGGATGTATATCGATCCTGAATAATCCTCTATGTAACTTGTATCGCAGCGTCAGTCTAGTCTGGTTGTTTTATAGTTCGATAATTTCAGATTAATTCAATATGACGATTCCTATTGCAAAATTTTTATTGATCGGTCATATAAATTCTCGTAACCAATTATTCAAAACAATTTCGAATTCGATTATTTAACTCAATGACATTTCTTATTCGGATACCCATAATGGTACTTGAGAGAGGACGTCCACTTGACCTTAGCATTTAACGAATTCTCTTGATGCGACTGTAGTAATTTGACAGTTTTTTGTACAGAAAAAAAAAGATTTGGATGTCGTCATCATCAGGATCATCATTATTATAATCATCATCATCATTCCGACACAGGCCAAATCGTGTATAAGGATATGGACAAGATGACGCACTTTAACTGCAGGCGTGTATAATGGGAATTCTTAGCCTTTCACTTTCGTTCTCTTTTGAATCTTTCTTATTTTTTCTTCTTTCTCTCTTTTTCTAATCGATCCCACTATTTTTCTCCTTGTTACCCTCGTGTTAGTCATACGTCAGTCTGTTAACAGGGCGTTATGATTTTGTGCTATTTACATACGGATCTGTCGTGTCACGATTTAGTAAACCTATAGGAAGTATATAAGAGTAAAGGAGAGAAAAAATGTTTCTAACGCGCACAAATGGATTCTTCGCGTCACTTTCGAATATCAATTAGCAACCAGTTTGTTACTATGGTATTGTAATCCTGTGCCGAAGTAACAGGCCAGGACCCGTTTATGGTATATTATTTCGGAAGCGTCCTATTGTAACAGTTCTCACCATAAAATCTTGGCTAATAGGATTATTTCAAATCCCCCCCCCCCCCCC